GCACAGCTGATGTGTTGTATGACCTCCTAGCCCCCGCACAGCTGATGTGTTGTATGACCTCGTAGCCCCCGCACAGCTGATGTGTTGTATGACCTCGTAGCCCCCGCTCAGCTGATGTGTTGTATGACCTCCTAGCCCCCGCACAGCTGATGTGTTGTATGACCTCGTAGCCCCCGCACAGCTGATGTGTTGTATGACCTCGTAGCCCCCGCACAGCTGATGTGTTGTATGACCTCCTAGCCCCCGCACAGCTGATGTGTTGAATGACCTCGTAGCCCCCGCACAGCTGATGTGTTGTATGATTCAAATAACACAAAGCAGTGAAAATGTTCAGATTTATTTCTTACTGCCCTCGTGTGCATGAAAGTCGAAAATACGTAAGAAATAATCCCTGCTATTCAGGATAAAATAGACTCGTCCACGTGAGCAACAGAACTCCTAGCGAAAATATGATACTTCACTACCCAACATAGAAGTTCACTCCTATGTCAAAAATAGTATTCACCGTCGCTTTTAAAAAAAATTTACACATACTTTTTTAACATTTTTTTTTCAAACACTAGTCTAAGTCGCGGTCATGCGTACTACGTCATGCGTGGTTGAGTTAAATTCACTATTAAAGTAAAGGGGAAATAACAAATGGGAAAACCAGCGTTCACTCCCCCAATATCACACACTATCACACACTATCACACACATCTCGACCTGACACAACAGACTACATCATCATGGCGTCTGACTATAAACTAATAAAGATCAATACTCGGAGGTCGAGATTCTATCTCTTATGACCTTTGGCCGTGAAACACAGCCCAGTAGTCTCTGGGGACTCCGGCCATGCAACTCGGCCTTGAGGGACGGGGTTTGTTGGGGGCTATGCATTTTTTGTTAAAGCAACGGAGATAAATCAGAACAAACACCCCGTTTAACAAACACCCCGTTTAACAAACACCCCGTTTAACCACGTTTAGCTTTCATTAAAATATTATGAAGTTATTTCCTTATAAGTATTATTTTGAGCTATGCTTAATTTGCTTATAATACTTTTAAAAAAATGATGCTAAAAAAAACTTGAACAGTTCTTAAAGACCTCCGTTCATAGAATATAACACGTGACCAAAATTTGCCAAACTCTGGATGTAAATAAAAAATAAACTTAATCTCAACACTTTAAATTAATGCATTTTCGCCACAACATGGGATACTGTAGTAAAGGGTGACGGCATCAAATTATGAAGGTTGAGAACCTCTGGTCTAGACTTTTGAAGTAAGAGTTAGTAGGGCAGTGCTCCTGTCCCATTTGGATCACCAGACCGTGGTGTCAGCGACACAGCTTCCACCAGGGGTCTTGTCTGCAAGGACAGGGCATGTTAGCATTTAAACCTCTGGCGTTCGTGCTGCCTGGCAACTGTCCGTATTACTTTGTGGTCCGCCAGCCAGCTTTTGGCACCAAGAAGAGTGATAGGTGTTTCTAGTTGAGACTGGGCAGCCCCGTTTTTGCCAGTGTGTCTCCTTTTTCACTGCACAGTTAACTTGTCACCGATTTTCTTAATGTCATAGCTAGAACACACAGCATCCATTAGCCTGCAAATTCATGTGATGGTTAGGCAGAGATGAAGGCCAAGGCCTTCATATTTTTAAAGCTTAAATAGTCTAACTAAATTTCTTGGTTTGATTTTTATTTTTTTTTATATTTAAATATTTGTTAAAAATCATGTGAACGTTTCAAACTGACAATTATTTTTTTGTGTGGTCCCATTGGCCTTTATCCAAATATCTCTTGTGGGATGAAATCCATATTTTAAGGACATTTATTGAATTGTCTCATCATCACAAATCTGAGTTTTAAGGGAATAACAGCACAAAGTAGTCTACAGACCAGTGGCGACTTGTGTATAGAAGTTTGGAACTGCAGCGACCCCTATTTTCACGCAAACTGCATTGATGATGAGGATTGAATACTTTTATAGCGCGCGTGTCCAAACTATTTTAGCAAGATCACATGGCTCTGATGCCCTAACATCTTTTTAAAGAAAAAAAAGTCTTTAAATTTTTCTTAAATGATTTTTATCATTTTCAATTTCCCTCAAATATATTAATAGCATACAATGAAATTCTACTGTCATGGTTTCGTTCTTGCTCTCTTCATTTATTAATTTAATACTTGTACACACTATTTAATACTACCAGGTACCAAAAGACATGATTCTCTCTGCAAAAATTCAACAATCAACTAATGTCACTAACGCTTTCACTAAAAGATATTCCCGATAACAGCACTAAATGGGATTCTAAAAAATACGGCAAGTCCGTCTGGTGCGTAATATTTTCTTTTGTTTTACGGGAAAATTCTCAATTTAAATAAAAGTGTGTCATAAATATGTTGTATAAAAGGGGGCGTGATATTAGAATATTAATATATTTTCAGGGGCGTGAAAAAATTGTACGGTTGCAACGGGGGTGGGGAGGGGGGATAATTGGGATTCTTATAAAGTGCGTTACTTGATTGCGTGTTTTGTCAAGTTACTTTAGTAGATGGGAAGCTCACGCATTGCGGGCACCATTTTTTGGCGGGCTATAGCTGGTGATAGGCATTTACAAACAGAGGCCATCGTCATTTATCTCATTTGTGAAAAAAAAAAATGCTTGCATGAAACTGTACTTCTTATTTCCAGTGACGCAGTATTTGGTTGTTCCACGCATACACACATGCCAGAGGGAAGAAAGAAGCGGGACCGCAGTAGAGAGAAGCACTGTCGCTCACACAGTTCCAATTTTCTTGTCTTCGTGTGAGGCTATATTTATGTTTTGCACCAGTTGTGGCGTCTATGGTGAATCATACTTATAGAAGATGAATGTGATAAAATGTAGATGAGAATCTTAATATTCTATTTAAATATTTAAACAAACATATATACATATACCTATCGTTGATCAGGCTTTTATCATCATATATAAGTTTTCTATCTGTATGCGCAATATTAAAATAATGCTTTAAAAGTCTGAAGCAGTACCGCCACTAAATTAAATCACGAGTCACCATTGCTACAGATCTTTACAAATACTTTCATGAGAAACCTGAATTCATACAGTGGTAAAAAATAATCAATAACAAAGACTTACTGATGAGGATATTTGAGGATCGAGATTGATGGAAAGCTCCTCTCTGGAAGACGGCATGTGCCCCAAACTGAGTGAAAGACAAAAATAGAATAAATAATGAATCTATTTTGCGAATAACTAGGCTAGTCAGCGGCTAATCTTTTAAGTAGTCAAAACAACGAATTTTAACTTTTAAAATTATTTTGCATAAATCTAAGTTGCATAACTTCAATTGATTCGTGGTTTTTGTTAAACCCAATATACTCTCCATAAACTGAGCTTTAACTGGAGTCAACACAGCCGTTTACGGAGTATACTTGTCTTAGGCACACGACGGCTGTTGTGGTCGCCATTTCTATGAATTCCCGAACAACTGGGAAATAGGAAATTACGTTAGGTATAAAAATAAGGTATATACCTTAAGTACAGCTTAATGGATAAAATCATCGTTTGGAAGTTGTCTGATTCTTGAATATTTGGACCAGTGAGAAAATTTTAGGTGAGCATTCGGATTGTTTTAATTTTAGGTGTAGTCATTTAGACTTAGACTCCCTTGGGAGTTTCACTTATTATTATTATAATTATAATTTTACAACTCATAATTCACCTACTTAGTTTTCTCATTTACTGACATACTATGTCATAGTTCATAGCCATAGTTTATAGTTATAGTCTAAGTCTAAGTTACTAAGTCTAAGACTCTAAGACATAGTTCGTAAAGTTCGGTATAGACAAAGCAAAGGGCAAAGAAAGGGACCATCCATAAATGATAAATGTATTATTATATTATAGTTATAGTATTTATAGCTAAGTTTAAGTATTAAAATTAATATTAACATATCAATTAAAATAAAATTGTCTATGCCCACCTATATTTTTTGCCTATTTATATTTAGTTAGGCTTAGGCGATTAACCATTCCCCCCCCCCCCCCCCCCCNCCCCCCCCCCCGCCAAATTAGGCGAAGAACAGACCCCTCCCTCGTCCATCCGAAACGTCATCACTTTTTAAATTTAAATTTTTTATACAAATTTTTCACAAATGTCTCAAATGTGACACTCCCCCCCCCCCACCCACTGGTGCATCACAATGAATTACATCATTTCTTGAAGTTTATTGTCCTTTATTATACTTTATAAAACTTTATAGTATAGTAAATGAGCAGTTATCGGTATGGGCATGGGTTTTCCAAAAGTTGTCTCACCCTAAGCACAGTGATGTCAATTTGGGGAATCCCAACATTGGACTTAGGGTGCCTGGACGAACAAATGGACCTTAACGATGAGAATGATAACTTTCCCGTTCTTCACTGAGCATTATTCACACACAATGCACAATCTGATAATCCATAGAGTTAAAATGAAATTTTCCATTTGGTTAGTCTAGTACTAAAAGTCAACTTACAAGATTCAAAAGAAATAAAAGAGTTTACCCTGATAACCCAAGATGAACACTGGAAAAAAAGACGTGCACATGGTTTAAAGTGGTTGAAAATGAAGTACCTATATGCTATTCATTTCTATGACATCACAATTTAACGGGAAATTTCAACATAATTTCTGGGGAAGGGAGAACCCCTTGCCCTTTTTTCAAGATGATAATTACGAAATGAGAAACAAACAAAAAATCGAATACTGAGCTAAATTTCAAAATCAAAATGGAGCTATGGCTGGTAGTTGACCTGGGGAAACTCCATGAACTATAGGCCTACTATATACCTTGGAAGACATGGCCAGTCTTGCCAGGACTTCATTTTAGCGAGCATGACCCTGCCTAGTTAGACTCACTTATTTATGCTTAAAGTTTTATTAGTTATTTTGTATCAAAGCCATAATGAAACTTAAATTGTCATTAAGTAAACAATTTAACTATTAAGTTTAAATTAGGATAGAAATAGAAGGGCCTTTAACTTTTGATTTTAACATTATTATTGGGTGAAAAATATTAAATTTGCCTGTTTTAATTTATAAAAATATAGTAGTTAATTTAGTAATAAACCATTCATATTGATAATAATTTTTAATGATATTGAATTTGATTATTAGTCAGTATTTAATGTTAAAAAAACACATTAAGTTTAAAGATTTCAATCATCTTTCTAGCTTTAACTCAAGTGGCTCAAAAGTTAGTGACTTAGAGTACCATAATTTAATACTATGGGGGGGGGCTTGCTAGCCACCACGTCAAATAATAATATTGTGGCCCTTAAATGCCTGAGTTATCACTTAATATTCAAATAATCTTATTGATTCTTCATTCACTTGACAAAGAATTGATAATAAACAATGCTTCTGTTTGCTGTCTATGGCTTGACATGTAAAAGTTCTGGGGTGGGTGGTGTGAATATACATTTATTTTGTTGTTATGCAGATGTTTTTTAATTAAATAAATGTATGTTTTTTTTTTAATGTCACGATTATGTTTGCTAATATTTTTATGTACGAAGCAGTGAGCCCAGCCCTAGGCTGTGGTACTGCGACATATAAGACCACTAATAATAATAATAATAATAATAATTGAGAGAAATGATAAAATATCAATTAGTTTAGACTAAACTAAAATTTAGTGTTATTCTGTTTTTAGCAATTGAATATGTGCTTTAAGACTTGATAAAAACCGTATATACTCGCATATAAGCCTACATCGCATATAAGCCGACCCCCTAAAACTGCTTTAAAATGGCCAGTTTTTGCAAAAACCCACATATAAGCCGACCATACAATTGTCTAATTTTACTCCATATTTTTGGTTCATAGAAATTTCTTACTCTAAAGATGTAAAATGCTTACTTTTATGTTAAATACCAGTTTGTTTACCTTTTGGAATGACACAAAAACGACTTCAGCTCTTTCCACATTGTTTGCTATAAGACTATCTGAACTTCCGCTCATAAGTTGTTCACAACTAATGATTAACGAAGTATATATTTAGAAATTTTTTTTTGAAAATTGGCATTAGTGTCTGTCCTTGTGTCCATTTTGTTTTATGCACATATAAGCCGCCCCCCTGATTTCAGTATTGTATTTTATAGTTCTAAATTCGGCTTATGTGCAAGTATATACGGTATGTCCTTACAGCATTTAGTGGGTGTTTTAAAAAAATATCTTTTCATATAAGGTGTAATAATTAGTAATAAGGTGTAATCACATGTTGCCCGCTAACGGTTTACTTACTATCAAAGTGGCTTGCGAAGCCTTTTGGGTTGGCCACCTCTGCAGTATCCTATACTAATTTTAGACTAGAAAGATAAGACTTAAGCCTATTTATTAATAACTTATAAGATTTTAACTTACTTATAGTTATAGTTAGGCCTTACTATTTTTAGGCCTGTATGCTAGGCATCTTATCTTAGGCTAGTGCTGGACTAGAAGCAGATCTGAAAATTAATTTTTTCAAATCATTAAATGTATTCCAGATTGAGTTGAAATTAGGGACTTTTCATAAAATATATTCCAATAAAAATCTTTTGCTAAAGGCATGTTCAGGTGTAACAATAATTCCTGGCACTATTTGGACTGAATAACTTAAGGGACCTGGTTTGTAGGCCAATGCTACATTCTCCAGTGTAAGGGTAAGTAATGATTTATTGTTACTTTAGAGTGCGGTAACTGTGTAGATTATTTAGGTGATCACCTAGGAAATTAAACAAGATTGTTTAACATTAAAAAAAAAGAACAAAATTGAAACACATATTAGTATTATCCTTTAATGAAAATTAATGTATGGTTTACAAAGTTAAATAATGATGCATTATGATAAATAAAACATTTGAAATACAGTTTTCAGGTTAAGCAAAAATGGATCAAGTAGACGCATTACGTGGGGCATCAACAATAGCAGAGCCAAACAGGTATTTCTCACATTAATTTTCAGTGAAGAATTGTCTTAAAGGTGATTAATTAGGGCAGTTCAGATGATTTTTTGGCCTCAAATAAATCCAAATTTTGGGCCCCCACAAATTTCAAAATTATTGTAAAAAATTTTTTTAAACATTTTTAACTTTAATTTTCTTCTTCTATAGCACATATTTAGCAAAGCCACAGATGAAGCGGTCAGATTGGGAATCAGAGGTGTACAGCTTGGATTATCCAAATCTGGGCACAGCCGTTATCATAAGCAATGAGAAATTTGAAAGAGGGACAGGACTGAACAGGCGAATTGGAACAAACGTGGATGCTGACACCATGTATGAACTTTTGAACACGATTGGATTTGAGAAAATCATACAGCTCAAAGATTTAACCGTCACACAAATGAAAAATGAACTGCAGAGAGGTGAAAAATAAATTAAATAATTTTGACACGTGAACGATTTTTTATTAAAAAAAATTGGAATCATTTATTCAAAATTACACTTATAAGATTCTAAAATGTCACATTTAAGCCTATATAATTCTAAATATTATTCTAAATATAATTAACCCACACATTGTTATTAGCATTTAATTTGGATGAATTAATCAAATTTTTTAGTTGCCAAGCTGGACTACTCTAAGACCAGCTGCTTTGTGTGCATCTTGCTGTCCCATGGAGAGGAGGGTTACATATTTGGTACAGATGGGAAGGTCTCAATTGAGGACCTCGTCCTCCCTCTCAAAGGAAACAACTGTCCGGGTTTAGTTGGCAAGCCAAAGATTTTTTTTGTACAGGTACATTTTTTATTTTACATATGAGCTATGAAAAATGTTTCGAATCACAACTTGACTTTGCCGCCATCTTGCTGACTGTAACAGAATTACTCTATGTAAATGCCAGAAATATTAACTATTGTATTTGGAGATACATTTTTTCTGACATTTGTAGCTAGCCTTTGGACAATGGTCAACCCATTCACTATCTACAAGACCTGCATGTAGCTATGTTCTTTTCTTCTGTTTTGGTTTCAGAGGTATCTCAGTTGTTGGTTCCCATAAAGTGATAAAGTTGTACGACAATTCACATATCACATCATGGGTCAGCTCTCTGCCCTCTATCACTTCTGTTAACAGTAGATTTGGATATTGCTTGTCATGAACAAATTCAGGGGAAAAAATCTGATAACTTGGAATTACAAATAGACCCTAGAATATGGAATTACAAATTTGTTTTCTTCTATTAAGTTATAGCTAATACATTAGACCAGTGGTCGGCAAACTCATTAGTCAAACAAGCCAAAAATGAGCAGCAGGATGATTAAAAAATGTTATAAGCCACATTTCTTTTAAAGAAACTGTTAAGAACCATGTTTTTTAGAGTGAAAACCGATTTGTGGCCGACTGGCCGAGCCGCACTCAGGTCGTTAAAGAGCTGCATGCGGCCCGCAAGCTGCGATTTGCCGACCACTGCAATAGACCTTATAAAATTTATTGGAAAAAGTTTCTGTTAACAATCCTTGAGACTGACAAACCATACAAATTATCTTGGGGAAAAAAATATTGAATTTGAAATAGATTTTTTAAACGAATTTGATGACTTTATTTATTTTGATACTGTGGGTCAGATTATGTCCCGGACCAGAATTAGACTCAACATACTACTGATTATGATTAAGTCATTGTAAAAGAAATATTTTCAAATGAAGAAGGAGAATTATGAAGATTCTCCCAGTTACTTAATGTCAACAGGCTTGCAAAGGGGACATGCTTGATGAGGGGGAGGAGGTGGCTGATGCCGGTGAAATGGATGTAGAAGAGGAAGCAGAAACACTTGGAAGAATCCCAACAGAGGCAGATTTCCTTACGGTTTACTCAACTATTCCAGGTGATTGTATTACATAACTGTGGGAAACAGTAGGTCTTTTTCTCAAAAAGACCATGGAATGCATGCATGAAACGTTTACTGTAATACTTTTTCACAAATAGACCCTAGAATATGTGTGTGAAACATTTACTGTAATACTTTTTCTCAAAGATACCAATCAACACATATGTGAAACATTTATTGTAACACTTTTTCTGTAAGAGACCATCATAAATATGAATGCATCATTTACTGTAATACATTTTCCCAAATGGACCACATTAATTTTTTGAGAAATATATTATATAGAGTACTTTGCTGTATTTTGTAGGCTCCCTTGCTTGGAAAACCTCTGTAAGAGGTTCATGGTTCATCCAAGCTGTCAGTGACGTTTTTAATGAACACTGGACCACTATGGACATCCTCACGATGATGACACATGTCAACAGAAAAGTTGCAAGGGACACGGAAAGTGTCGGCAGAAAGCAAATCCCTTGTATAACATCAATGTTGACCAAAGATTTCTTCTTTAGAACAAATTAATGTGGAATTGATACCCATAAAATGCAATTTTGAAATGTGCTAATTATTATTTATCTACGAAATATAACATGGGTATGATTCTGAAAGCATGTTTGCCTTACTTAAGCATTATAATGTAGTAAATATAAAATTAGTCCGATCATATTAAATCACTTGGACTTACCAGTAGGGTATCTGGTGATTTAATTGTGATCTTACAAAGTTTCAGGTAACTGATTTTAATTGTTCAAATTGGACAAAGTGAGTTTAAAATACATGTCAACTTCTAAAACAGGCTCAGCTAATCAGCAGGCCTCATGGGGCCCACCACATTAATTTTTGTGGCCTACTGAATGTGTCTGAAAATAAAATTCTTCTTTCTTCATTCAATTATCAAAGCAATAGATTTTTAAAAAGCTAAAAGAGAGAAGATATAAAACAATGATCACAATATTTTAATTTTCTTTGTTATTTTATTTTTCATAGTGTGCATTAATAATAAATAAATAATTATATCCAAAAATTATTTGGTGTTGCATAAAATAATAGGTGTAACCAATAGCATAAGAAAAAGAGGTATGCAGTTGGGGAGTGGGGGGGGGGGAGGTTTACAACCAAGGGCAGCACTTTTTTTTTGGCCAATTGCATGCAGAGTATTTTTAATTGAAGGGGCATGGCTATGAGCTGTACTAAAACTCTAGCTAAACCACTACGTGTAATGAAATGTGGCCTTCAAAACATAAACTCACAATTAAAATGACCCATTATGCCGTTTGGTTTGGCCACCCTTGTTTTAAATGATGTCATTTTATTTGGCCATTTCTGTTGTGATTATATTATTTTATTTGCCCGCCCTTGTTCTAAATCAGTGGTTCTCAACCTTTCTAGTGCCGCGACCCCTTTATACTGTTTCTCGTGTCGTGGCGACCCCCCAAGCCACACAATTATTTTCGTTGCTACTTCATAGCTGTAAGGATATATGTTTTCAGATGGTCTTAGGCGACCCCTGGAAAAGGGTACCGCAACCCCAAAGGGGTCACGACCCCCAGGTTGAGAACCGCTGTTCTAAATGATATCATTTGGTTTGGCCACCTCTGTTCTAAATGATTTAAAATTTTCAATCCATGTTTGTATTTTTAAGATTTTAGCCAAGTACCCCATGCCTACAATTTTGTAAAACTTGCTTCAATTTATTATTGGATAACTAAAATAAAATTATTTTTACAGCCTGTGTGGTTTTTGAGAATTGGTGCATTTTTCAGCAATCAAAAATAACTTTTATTAATTCATCAACTGGCTCAACATTAATAATAATATATTCTTGTTTAAAAAAAATCTTTATCATTATGTAAATGCTGTTATGTTATGATTGTGTCAGTTAGGTCTTTTTTTTTGTTGTTGTGTCAGTTAGGAATTTTTTTTATTGTGTCTGTTAGGACTTTTTTAGTTTTATTGTTTTAATGCTTTTGGCTTAAAAAATGGACTGAAAGGAAAAGTTTTAAAATGTGTTCATGTAAATTTAAATATCTCTGTCTACTTCAGCTATAAGTAGGAATTTGTAAACTCAATGGAGGACTCCTCTATAAAAATAGTGACTATAAGAATGTCATCTGTTTTCACCCTAAGATTTTGAAGAGTATTATTGGACAGCTTGGATGAGCCATGAAGAGCATTATTTCATATGGGAGTTTATAAAATAAAGTAAATCCTAAAATAATTTTTATTCAAATATAAGATTTTATAATGATCATGATGAACATTTAGGAAAATACAGCTTGTAGATTAAAAGCATTAAAATCCAATTTTTGTCCTGTGATATAATGCTACATTTGAAAGTTTCTTGTATATCCTATATTTGAAAGCTGAAGATGTACGTTTTGTTCATGATTAAAATCCTAGGAATTTAATTTATATTAAATTTTATGTGAGTTTGTTATTTGTATTAAGACTGTTTTTCTAGGCTCCTTAATTATATTAATAAGAATGGACAGTAAGGTGAGATGGGTATTTTGGGAGAGCAAGACAATTCATAATTTAATTTCTCACTCACATACATTTCTAAAGCATGTTTGTGGGACTTTTTTAATTTTAATTATTTTTGTTTAAAATTTCTTAACATCTCAGATATGGGGATTTAATTATTGGAATTTATATAATTTATAATTTTAAATTCTACCATATTATTTCAAATTCTCGAAGGCAGGGGATCGTGTGTCATAAGTTTGAAAATTGAACCTTTGGCACAGGCCTAATATTCAGAGGCTTCAAATATACTATTTGACTTACAAACATGTTGCCTACAATCTTAAAACTGAGTAGAATATAAATATGAAGTTGTATATTAGTTATATTAAATATGAAGATTGATAACAACCAAGTTCTGATATAAACAATGAGTACAAATCTTTCTAAGATATACAGGACTAAGTAACATGTTTACCAAACTAAGTTTGAAACAGGGACAAAAGTTCAAACCGACCAAAATAAGGCTGGTAAACCGGGATGACCCCAGACATAGGGTAGACTTACATTGGCTTAAGGTTCTTACGCGTCATTTTCTGGCACTGCATGATGCCACCTATCCCCCAACCCCCACCCCACCTCTGTTAAAAAAATCACCAAAACCAAGGTACCGATATTAGTTGAAAAATAGGGGAGGGAGGAAGTGGGCGTGGGGGTTACAAATTTCCATATCAGAGGTCCTTAACCTTGTTTTAAAGCCGCACCCTCTCTCAATTTCAACGCATTTCCTGGGAAAAAATGGTGTTTTTTTTTTTACTGAAAATTATTCAGTAATGATAGATTTACTTCTTTACTCCAATTAAATTAGAAACAAAACAAAGAAAGCACCCGTACAAATAATGCGAAAACAAAATGAACCTCAAGAGCATCTGCTGCTGCTACGAAAATGCAAATAAACCTGATTTTTTTGTCTATCCGCACCCCTACGGTTTTATAGCCCTGCATTAAAAAAATACAGTTTTATTGTTATTATATTATTCCACATCACAACTCTGGGCCCCTCAGATATCCGAGGTACGCACGACGGCCCTTGTTGGAGTGACGGTCCACTCAGGGCGGCACTAGATTTTATTGAGACACGAGAGACGGCATTTTCGTCCAAATGCAGATTTATTACAATGTCTTTGCCCGACCCAGGTGGCACTAAACAATATTTACGCCAATGAAGAAAACCACTTGAATTTTTTGTTAAATCATTTAATTAATAAATGATTGAATCAAACTGGATTTTCTCAAACTAATCTTGAAATGTTAAATCTTATCAAATCTTACAAAAAAACATTTAACCGAATATAATTTTCTGCGCATAGCCCCAAATCCCATTGTCGTCTGCTGTGATATATTTAGAATTTGATCGCTGATTAATTACGTACCAAGTATTTTCCGAAACTACTCTATCACATATGATATTAAATTTATTATTATTTAAACTAGAACGAAGCCTTCCTGACCTCAAAACGTATTTGGTAAAAACATACTAATATACTCATACATGCCTATACTGATAAAATTTTAGAATTAGTTCTATTATTAGACAAATAATTAGTCAGTTATTTAATTTTGAGCTTGTAGCCTAAAATCTAAAAGTAAAAGCCGCCAGGCCAAGGCTAAGTTACTGCTAAGCCTAGTTAAAAATAAAATCAAGTAAAAAATGCCTACAATTTTACTAAATGAAGCCTAAGCTACTAAAACTAAGTGGGCCTAAGTGTGCGGGTTCGCACAAAAACCCTAGATACACCACTGTTGTGTTAGAAATATTAGTACTGTGACTGTGAGGAGTGCTTTGCTCCTGACTGAAACTTTCTCTTACTAAACTTATTTAAATAAACGTATTAAGTTTTATGAAGTCTAGTTTTACTATTTACACAAATTGATTGTTTTCTTATACTTATTAATAATTAATCTATTTAGACTTAAGAAACCTTTATATAATATATATATATTATTTGATTAGGAGGTCAAAAGACCTGGCTTTTGCAAACATTTTTGAGACAATTTGTTTGAGTGAAAATGAAAAGCAGTAAAAGTAAAAAAAAATATATATTTTATAGACTAAGTCTAAAACTAAAAGTTAATATTTTAGGAGCTGCATGTGGGGCCGATTATTTAAATTTTAAATTAAAGATTAAAGGTAAGAGTGATTATTATAAAAAGAGCTGTATTTATTCCAGAGCTGCAAGTTGTCAAAACACTGGCCTAGTCAGCCTACTAAGTCATAGTAATAGTAAAACTTTAGGCTTCAGTACTGACAAAAGTGAGGTAAGCATAAGTAACAATAATAAGCTCATTAACAAAAACACAATTACAAATTTCTGAATGAGTGGCAATTTCAGTCATCAGAGTTAATTAGTTAAAATTAGGCCTATATTGAATTACAACATGTGCCAAAAGTAACAGTAATGAAACACCCGCACCTGCAACGTGTTCACAGAAATGAAATGATAGGTTTGGCATTTGTTTTGGAAATAGGGTTCTTGACAGAGGAAAGCATAGATCTATTTACCGTTGAGTATTATTATTTTCCGCCAACGTAAGTGATCGTAATGTTTAATTGTGTTTGAAAAATGGTGGTAGAACAAAGCCAAGAGATATTTAAAAAGATGACACCAAATAAAACAATTCTGGAAAGGTACTCTGTCAATGGAAGAGAAGGTCTGATAGACCAGTTAGTGAATTTAACTTTTCTTGGAGAAACATATGTTCCTATAAAAATCTTGATCCTCGCACACTAGGAGCACACATTTTCCACAATACATCATGTTCAACATGGATCCGATGTGAAAATGCACCTATATCTTAAACTTAAACAGTTGGTAAATGGACATATCACCGATGTTCAGTTTCAAAGATATTTGTCGTAGGAGCAAATAGAGCGCCTGGAGAACATTTGCTCAATTCACATTTATCAAAACACTTCCTGGTTGTGCGGACTTCCCATTTCATTGAAACAGTACATTTCCGGGATGGCGAAAGCTTGTAACAATAAACAGCACAGTGTTACTTTGTGCTGTCTTATTAAATTTCTCTCGGAATTGTTCTGCCAACTTTTTACAAACATGGTCTTGCTTTCCAATTTTAATCACTTAACGTAATAGCTAAAAATTATGCTGAATTAGGAATATTTTTTTCCCATTTGAGAGGCCCATTTCCAACTACTGCCCATCGTATCATCCTTTTCACTTCTAGCAACACATAGAAGATTAGAGCTATACACCGGTAAAAAACAAAAGTACACGTTCAAAATGCAGGTTTCAGTAATGTTACTTTTGTTGCTTACTGTATATAAAAAGGATGTGGCTATTTGGACCCGTGTCAGAGAAGAGAGAGTTTAGGTTTATTAAAAAATATTTAAAAATTATTGTTGGGTTTGTAAGACAAAATTTGGTATCAAATGGAAGATAATTGAATGGACTATATGTTTGTAAACTTACTTCTTAAGTTTAACTAAAATAAACTACCACAAATGAGATCCAAATACCATTTAGTCAAAATGGAACCGGAAACGCATCACCGCTATTCGGACCCAGGTCCCTTTAGAATAAATCTGGATTTAAATAAATGAGAAATTCTCATTTTATCATTCTAATTTTGTTGTGCTCCAATAAAATAAAGCTGAGGATATATACAATGGGTAGAAGGCTACTTACTACTCCAGGAAAGACTTAACACAGCCTGATTACTGAAAACAAAATTGACATCTTTAAAAAAAAGTACCCCCACCCCTTCCCAAAACAATCGCACACACACGTTTTGCAATAATTTATGTTAACTTCAAAGTTTCTAAAATGAAGTGAAAGGCCCCTAATATTTAAATAAGTTTATTGCTGCAATTCATTATCTGTAAATTAAATCCCCATCAAGTTTCCTCACTATGACATTACTTTAAATGAATGTTCAATGAAATGAATTTACTTCTGTTTAATTTTCAAGATGTGATCCCGAATTCCACACTGTAGTAAAAAAAAAATTGTCACAAACCTAAAATTACTTTAAAAAATCTGACTACTTTCACATGATTTAATATAATTTACTAACGTCACATATATTTATAATTTTTGAATATTTGTTGGTTAACAAAAAATCTTACTGTTATCCCATGCTTTCCTCAGATACATCAATTAGAAGAGGATAGAAAGTTTGTTACCATCAGTTGCTTTAAAATTCATCATGAGCAGTGGTAAGTGAAGTGAAAAAAAAAGACACCTGCATGAATGTTTTTTTATGAGCATTTTAGACTTGGGAAAACATTTTCATCAGGATTTTTTGAAAAACAATGATATTTGAAAATTAGCAACATTTTTACCTGCAACCAAAGATTTTCATCAAAGTTATGTTTCTTCGAGAAAGCAAAGTTGGAAACATAATTCCTATTTCCAAACACTAAAGTTTGCTAAATTCCATTTTGTATGTTGCCGATCATCTGTGCCCCAAGGTCTGCCCATGTCGTACTCTTAACCCATGCTACGCATAGACACACTACCATTCTATTTGTTAGATAACTGCTCTTGATTTCAGATTTTTTTTAATGCCCACTATCAATAGGTTACCACACTTTTATGAACCTAGCCCTATTTTTTCTCATCTAATTAGAAATTTTACATTAACTTTTCAAAGAACGCTGTAAAATAGTATTCCAGTTTTTTTAAACGCACTTATTGTACTTATAAATGTCAAACAGTATGTTTTCTTTCATGATTTAAAAAAAAAATTCTTTATGTTTTGTTTTTTAAACTAATTTTGGTGACTCAAATGAACAAACTGAGGTTTCAAATCATTTCAGAAGCCTTTTTTGAAATTATTGTAAAATTACAATTAATATCAGAGTGTTATTCTTCTTCTTATCCGTTATCACTTCCAATGGAGCATAGACAAGCCTCAGTAATTTTCCATCTGTCCCTTTCCTGGGCCATCTTTGCTAGTTCAGCCCAGCTTTTCTTCATTCTCTTCACCTCTGTCTCTACTCCCCTCTTCCATGTGGCCCTTGGTCTTCCTTTTTTCCTGGTACCCTGAGGATTCCAGTTCAGGGCCTGTCTTGTGATGTTAGTGTTTGGTGTCCTTAATATGTGCCCTATCCATCTCAAGTTTTCTTATTTTTGTCTCCGTTTCCGCTGGAACACTTGATGTTCTCTCCCAAAGGACAGTGTTACAAATTTTGTCAAACCATCTTATTTTGAGGATCCTTCACAAGCATCTGTTTGTAAAAACCTGCAGTTTTTAATGTTTGTTTTTGTTGTACTCCAAGTTTCACAGCCATACAGAAAAAGTGTCTTTACAATTGAGTTGAATATTTTTAACTTTGTTTTTGTCAGTATTTCACTTGAGTTCCAGTTGTTTCGCAGGGCATTGAATGCTCCTCTGGCCTTTTGGACCCTAGACTTTATGTCCTCATCTGTGCCACCATTTTTATTTATGATGCTTCCAAGGTATGTAAAATTCTCAAGAGAGGCTCCTCTCAGGTTAATCCCAATGACTCCATCATCCACTGCATTTATTTTTAAGTTATAATTTTCTCTTTATTTATGCTAAGTCCAACTTCCTGGGATCCAGAGTCACGTTTTGTTGTTTTCTCCTGCATTTATTTATGTGATAAAAGTGCAATGTCATCTCCAAAATCCAAATCCTCCAACTGTCTGAAAGGTGTCCACTGGATTCCATTATTCCCATCCTGTGTTGTTTCTCTCATGATCCAGTCAATGGATAACAAAAAGAGGAATGATGAGAACAGGCATCCCTGTCGAAGTCCAGATTTTATCATGAATGGGTTAGTGAGTTCACCTTCATGTATAACCCTGCAGCTCATATCCTTGTATGTGTTCTTTTGGGGAATACCATAATGTCTTAGTAGTTTCAGACTGTATCTCTGTCTAAGCTGTCAAATTCTTTTTCGAAGTCGACAAAATTTAGGTACAATGATGCATTCCACTTCAAGCACTGTTCCATGATTATGTGCAGGGTTGCAATTTGGTCAGTACGTGATCTGTTTTCTCTAAAACCAGCCTATTCTTCTCTTAGTTTGCAGTCAATCACTTTTTTTTATTCTCTGCAGAATAATTCTATTTAGTATTTTTCCTGACACAGAAAGAAGCATGATTCCTCTATAGTTTCAACACTCTTGGATCTCCTTTCTTTGGAATTTTGACCAAGTATCCTTCTCTCCACTCCAATGGGTATCTTTCCTTTGTCCCAGATAGTCACAATTAGCTGGTGAAGTATGCTTGATGACATAACACTGATGATTGTCATGTCGTCATCAGATTATTATAATACCCACTATTTTGTGGGCCATTTTAATTAATTCTGGTTTTCTAATTGATTTGCATTTTTTCTTAATGGCTATAACAAGTATCAAACTACTAGAACTCATGGTATATTAATGTTTATACGAATTATCAAATAACTAGCATTCAATGTAAAATTTTGCACTGTCAGTAATTAAAAAAAAAAACTATAGAAATTATTGAAAATATTCAAATGTACTCTATTAATTGGAGAGTCAACATGCTTTGAAATAAAATGCAATAGGAGTATTTTGCTTGAAAAATTTAGATGAGTTTTACATCATTTGAATTCTATATGCTTAAAAGGTGATCAAGTTGATGCCCGAGGTGAGGCTGCAGGAGGAGAAGACAATACAGATGCACTACCCCGGCATCCACCACAGCCCTCAGGGTATGTTGACTATTTGCAGTAAATTTCCTGAATTTATTTTTAAAATAAATGAGTGAAACTGCACTACAATGTTTTAAAAATAATCATTTTTGCATGCCTAGTAATTGATTGAAAATTAATAATAATAATAAAAGCATGTGTTCCATAAAATTTAGTTTCAACCAAAAAGCAGCAATTGAAGTCCTAAGGCCACAGATGGCCCATCCCTGCAATAGACACTGATTACCTAATGAGTTATTGATGCATACATAGGAGGAAAAGTTATAATTTAGTTTCACTCAAAAGGCAGCAATTGAAGTCCTAAAGCCACAGATGCCCCACCCTTGCAATACACACTGATTACCTAATGTGTTATTGATGCTCAGATAGATGGACAATTTATAATTTCCATTTCATCTCTGTTCAGAAGTGTAATGCGTTAAGATTACATAATTACAAGCTGTTTTGAACTTACTTATGTAATAAAAATTCACTAGTAAATGTTAACAAATTCATTAGATGGGATATATGGAAACTTATTTCTTAGAACAATTTATAGTTATAGACATTTTTCAATACCATTGTAAATATTTCTAATAGTTATTATGGAGCAATCTATAGTTACAGAAATGTTTAAATGCCATTGTAAATCTTTCTTATAGATATTATTGTCTGTCTCTGACATTTAATTTCAATACCCTGAAACCTGGGACAAACTTGGACCAAATTCCGGAGTTATTTTTTTTTTAGGAAATTTAATTTGTACCATTAAAAAAAAAATCCCCCTATCAATAACCAGATCACTGACTGTCTGCTCTCATGCTGAGAGCCCTTTTCAATGCTTTTACTTGTACGACTCTGCCTACTTACTTCAACCGATGAAGTGAAGACAGCCTAATGGTTATGGTTAATATGTCCGGCAACAGTATTAAACAGAAACTCGTCCCTCTCCCCCATAGACAACGACGAGGCCATGACAGGAAATTCAGGCTCATACCAGCAAGAAGCCAGTATAGGAGCTGCTCATTCCTGCCCAAGACAATCAGGGACTGGAACAATCTTTCAAAAGGAACGGTTGAGGCGACAACACTAGACACATTTGTGTCTATTGCCTCAAGCCTTCAAACCCCCAGTGCATGATTCCCTCACAAAGTGGCACTGGAAATCGGTGAAATTTCCTCATCAACACCAGGAACAGAAACATTGCAAATCCCATCTACATGCATAGGAGCCAAAATGATCAATAAATTGATCGTGGGCCCTTAAGATATAGAAGAAGAAGAATAGGTTGACCGGCTGGTCTATCGTCATTTGAATCCCTTGACCAGCTGGTCAATGAACCTCCACCTCTCTTTGGTTTTAAAGATTGTTAAAATAAATAAACACTGCATTTAAAAACATTGATTCTCAGATTGCCGGCATCCATCCCTACAGTGAGAGAGTCAGATTTTGTATCAAATGTATACAAGATGGACAGATCAAATTTGGGACCTGTCATTATCTTCAACAACAAAGATTTCCATCCAAGAACACAAATGGGAAAGCGCGATGGAACTGACAGAGATGCAGACAACATGAATAGTATTTTCCAAACGATGGGCTTCCAGGATATCCAGCAATTCAATAATCAAACTGCTTCTGAAATGAGAGATAAGCTTTGGAAAGGTAAATTAAAATTTTAATAATTTTAAGTGTACTTAACAAGTTAACCATCTGTTAGTTATTTTCTCATGGATGAAATTTATCTAGTTATTTTCTTATTGATGAAGACTATCTAGTTATTTACTCATTGATGAAGATCATATAGTTCTTGTTTATATAGACATGTTCAGTGGGGATAGAAGAAACAAAACGTCATGTGCCTTTATTATTTATTTTGTCTAAGATATCAGTTATATAAAGATGATAGTATTATATTCTGAGTGCATAGAACCCATTAGACTTTAGTTTTAATAAACTAACAAACAAGGAAGGAACATTTTCCAATGTTTTATTTAGGCCCATATCTTGTAATGGGCTTAAAACCAATGTATGAAATATTTTTAAAATATATAAGAAAGCGTTTATCTACTCCAACAAACTGAAAATTCCGATAACTCCTGCGACATAATCACAATGAGACACAAGAAACACTGCTGATCATCCACTGCCTACTGGTCTATTTCCAGTTGTCTTGACCATGTCTTGCCATTGGATCAAATTGGCAAGCAAGAGAGAGTGAGGCTGACAAATTGAGCAACTTTCCCTACTTTAAAAGTTTAAGCCTTGGTTATCCCTGAATGCAAAGGAGGAACTATTATATATATTAATCAGATTGGTGAATTCACAAGTAATTAAACCATCAGTTCCTCCCTTTGAAGTCATGTTACTTCCCCTTGAATTCATGTTATATTGATTATTTATTTGAACATTTTTGTCACTAATTTCAGTTTTAGGTAGGGCCACATCAACATATTTGTTTGTGTTTTTTTAGAATCTTTTTTTTTTTTAAAATTTCCAGCTTCTAAAACTATGACCACTGCCAGCAGCTGCTTTGTCTGTGTCATTCTCACCCACGGAGAAGAGGGCTTTGTGTTTGGTACAGATGACAAGGTCCCTATTGATGACCTGGTATTGCCCTTCAAAGGAAACCACTGTCCAGCATTAGCGGGCAAGCCAAAAATATTTATCATTCAGGTAGGCTTACATGTGGCATGTGAAATGAAATATGTTTTAGATTTTCTTTTCGACCAGATAATCTGGCAAAGCTAGAACTATTTTTTTTGGTCTCTGTTGGCTACCAATTTTAACACCATGTTCTGCCGTTTGGTGGTATTGGGTTTATTTTTACTCCTCCCAATGATAGCTAGCATTACTTGGCTAAAGAATTCATTCCACCGGCTAGGACAGACCCCTACAAAAATAATATAATTTATTATGTGGGTGAAGGAAGAAAAAAGAGATTGATAAACTAAATATAAAGTTGATTATTAATTGTATCAAATGGGCAAGAATGTTTTTAAAAAAAAAACATATATAATTTAACAAAAATAATTATTCAACATTCAACAAAGTATAGATACTAACAGATCAACTGAAAATTCTAATCAACTCAAGATTTTTATTTTAAGCCTTAAGAAACGTTGATTAAATGCTAATTTTCAATAATAATTGATTTTTAGACAACTTCATTGAGGATTTTTATGCAATCATTTGTTTTCTCCTAACAGGCTTGCAGAGGCACAGAACTTGATTCGGGTGTAGAAGTGGAGGACTCGGGCATGGAAATAGGCACTGAGATGGATGAGGAGGTCATGATCAGAAGAATTCCAACAGAAGCTGATTTCCTAATGGCTTACTCCGTGGTTCCAGGTAAAAAAAAAAAATGCATTTCATCTCTGTCTTATCCAATTTTTCATACATGAAGTAATATGATTTACCACTTTTTTTTATATATATTTTTTTTTCTCCGGTTTTAAATACAGATTAATTATATTTAAAACCTTCTATGATGTGAAGTATGTAGAAGCAATGGCTCCAAGTTTATTATCCACTTTATATAATTCTATAGATGTGTGGGGGTGGCAGGAGTAAGTGCACAGTATTGGGAGTTTGGTCCGGCTACGCCACTGTTTTCATGAGGGTAGTCAATCTTATCCCTTGTTTACACACAGCAGGGCAGTCCTAATCAACTGCAGAGCTTAAAGCACATTGGACTTCTAGAAATGACATTGGCGGACCATGAATAAATAATTATCTATACAAATATTGAGAGAAAAAAACAATCGTATGGGCAGCTAGCAAGGTTGTGCTACTGATGACTGTTAATAGCAGTAGTAGGCATCCATTCAAGAGTCATTTTAATGTACATACGAGGTTACAACTATATGTATCTCAATCAGTGATATGATAAATTTAGGTTATAAAACATTTCAAAATGCAGATTTCTAGATGACACCTAAAGGGCATTCTTGTCTGAAACCTTGAAAAGCTCATTTCATGAACTATGTGATAAAAATTAGCCATTGGGTATTTTGGCAGTGTTCTATTTGTTTTAAAGAAACATCGCCTTGTACTACACCATTAAGCTGGATCAGATGCAACAGATAACAGATACAATAAACATTATAAAACCAAGTTTGGCTAATGTCACAAAGTATCACCTTACGCTCATAAAAATATTTACTTAAATGTGTCAATGTGTCCATGAAACAAGTTCTGCCATCACAAGTTCACATGATAAGTTTATTTAAGTCCTGAATCTCAATCAAAATGTTTTATTTGTTGATGTATTCATGAAAATTTCACCCTACGGCATCACTACTGGCACCTAACAATTAAAGATTCATTTAACTTTAGAGGTGATCACATTAGATCTAATTGTTTTTATTGCCCATACGCGATTTTTAAAAAGAAAATATAAATATTCATGTATTTTCTCAGGTTACTTTGCTTGGAGAAACTCTGCCAATGGCTCGTGGTTCATTCAAGCCGTTTATGACGTCTTTCGCAGACACTGGAAAGATATGGACCTCATGACTATGATGACACGGGTCAATAAAAGGGTGGCCTATGACTTTGAGTCCAGAGCTGCAAGGGAATTCATGAACAGGAAGAAACAGATACCTTGTATAACATCCATGTTGACTAAAGATGTTTATTTCTACCCGCAGCCCAAGAGTTTATAGAAGGGTGAGCATCACCTCCTCAAAACTTATTCTGATATAAAATATAGTCCTGAAGAAGTTGGTAGATTTAGCAGTTTTGTATTGTCAAGTCTTTTCCTAAACAAAGAGAACTGGGACAAAATTTGTACAAAAAAAATGTTAACAAGGATTTAAAACTTGAATTTGAAGATAGGAAAAGATTGCTAGAATGTTAAGAATCATTTAACTTTTTTTTGAAGAAAATAAATGTGATTAAAAGCGGACAAGGAAATTGACAACCTCAGCCATGACAGTGACAGTTATTAAAATATTCCACCTTAAGAAAAAAATATGATTGTTTAATCGTACATATTTGAAGGGTAAACAAATGTTTTCTTAATAATACTCAGCACTAAAGAAATTGTTTTCTATATAACTTATATGCTAATTTTTTCATAAAAGATTTTTTTCACGGAATTCATTCTATAGTATTGGGTGTAACCAGGGGTGCCAAAATCAAACAACGGAAAGGGCCTTATAAAAAGATTTCTCAAATTCCAAGAGGCTGCAGCACATATCCATATGCTAACATTGTATGCACAATTTAAAAATGTCATTTTTACATGAAGAATTGTACACAGTATTTATAATACTTGAAATTGTAGTTGAAGTTTATTTTCAACAGAGCTTTGCCCCACCAGGAAATCATTGTTTTGTTTTGTTATCACATTTTGGTAATGAAGGGAACACTGCAGCATATCATCAGCGGCAGTGACCTGTTGCATTTACTGTTTACATTAAGAAATGCAGTGAGACTTGCTTAAAAATGCAGTAAAACTTGCTTAAGAAATGCAGTGAAACTTTTTAAAGAAATGCAGTGAAACTTGTTAAAGATATGGAGTGGAACTTGCTTAAGAAATTGAATGAAACTTGCTTAAGAAATGCAGTGAAACTTGTTAAAGAAACTGAGTCAAACTTGCTTTTAAGAAATGCAGTGAAACTTGCTTAAGAAATGCAGTGGAACTTGCTTAAGAAATACAGTGAAACTTGTTAAAGAAATGCAGTGAAACTTGCTTAAGAAATGCAGTGAAACTTGTTAAAGAAATTGAGTCAAACTTGCTTTTAGGAAATGCAGTGAAACTTGCTTAAGAAATGCAGTGAAACTTGCTTAAGAAATGCAGTGAAACTTGCTTAAGAAATGCAGTGGAACTTGCTTAAGAAATACAGTGAAACTTGTTAAAGAAATGCAGTGAAACTTGCTTAAGAAATGCAGTGAAACTTGCTTAAGAAATGCAGTGGAACTTGCTTAAGAAATGCAGTGAAACTTGTTAAAGAAATTGAGTGAAACTTTCTTAAGAAATGCAGTGGAACTTGCTTAAGAAATGCAGTGAAACTTGTTAAAGAAATGGAGTCGAACTTGCTTAAGAAATGCAGTGAAACTTGTTAAAGAAATGGAGTGAAACTTGCTTAAGAAATGCAGTGAAACTTGTTAAAGAAATGGAGTGAAACTTGCTTAAGAAATGTAGTGAAACTTGTTAAAGAAATGGAGTGAAACTTTACTTGTGTTGCATACTGAAGAGTTTAAAAATGAAACTTTTGGGGGAAATCCATATTTTGTTCTTTTAATTACTTTTCCCCTTAACTTTTCCAGTGATCAAATATTTGCTGTCAATTTACATCCTTATTCACTGTGTCAAAGATGCCTTCTTACTATAGCACATTACTTGCCTTCCTTATTACTATAGCACATATTATAATGCCTGTATGAGAGTTTTTATTTGGTCTGATATGACCAACAAAATACTCTCACACTCATTACGCAAAGCTCTTTTTGAAATCCTAATCCTATATTTAACTTTGCTTTTGTTTGTGTGTTACTTTCTGGCTGGGTGGCAAAATCTTGGGACAGCTAATGGACCCACCACCCATCAACCTATTGAACCGAAACTTGACACATAGTCTCGTTGCCAATGACAACACATTCTATCAAATTTTCAGCTCCACCCCCCAGGAGAAGATAAAGGAAATATGATGCTAATCATTTCACAAAATACAATTCCTGATAACTGCGCTGAATGAGATTTGGTGCGTAATAATTTCTCTTGTATTTCTGAAATAGTTGGTGAAATAAATATGTGGTGTAAAAAGGGGTGGGACATTAGAATATCACTGTAAAATAAAATAAAATTAAAAAATGCATATAAAGGATTTATATGAAAAACTTTGATTTTAGTTGTTTTTTTTTAATAATAGGCTGTGCTTTAGCTACTTACATGTCAATGTTTTCTGGTTTATTTTGGTTTTGTGCTTAATGGCATCCCCTTTTCTTTCAGAACTTATTTCTATGCTTACAATTCATTTCTAAGGGCAGGATAATGCTTGCCAGTTCAAATTATAAGAACCATGAAAAATTACATGATTTCATTTATTTAAAAGGACTTCATTTTATTTGGCATGTGCAAAGTAACTAGTTGCAATTAGCACACTACTTTATAACAAACATTTCTACTGCTGCAAAACTACATAGCCATCTTTAGTTTGACAGTTTGTTGTGTACATCATATTGCTTTTGGTTTGAGTGATCTCATTGAGCAGTTTTCTGCCGTATTTTGTTTTATAACAAGGATTTCACAGACTATCTGTGGGCAATAGTTTTTTTCTTTTAGCATAAAAGCCAATCCAATGGCCACATTTCTTACAATAATTCCATCTCTGCAATAGATTTATAGTCGGAGTTGGCCTACACATTGTCAAGTCTACTCATTGTAGTACAACTATAGTATAGTCAGAGTTGGCCTAGTCATTGGAGTATGCCCAAAACAAACATTGAATTAAATTGAGTAAATGATTTTCAACTGACATCTAATGCAAAACATTGCAATCTCTCTGATTCACTAGTTTTTCAAATTGTGGTTTAAAAAGCACATCATAATTTAGTCCCAAGCCATGCATTCATTAGTCTAGAAACTAGAAAGGATATTTCTCTTGAGGTATGTACCATATGGGCAGAAAAAACTGATTCACATAACCAAATGGACCTGAAATCAAGGGGAAAAAATGAAATCTCTGGAAAATCAGAAACAAAAGCAGCCACATTTCAACAAGTGAATTTAGAGGGTCACTACTTTGCAAAGCTATCATTTTATGCGTTTGAAATCAGGCTTATTTAGACCAGGCAAATTTACACTGTTTAAAGCCAGTTTTTATTTATTTTTTATAAATGTTACATATTTTTAGAAATGATAGAGTCTAGAGCTCTACTTATTAAAATACATCCATTAGCATGTTTAGTCAAGTGAAAAAGAGTTGGCTGCACAAGTGATACAGGGTTTAAAAAAGTTAGATTTCATTTTCAAGTAAAAGTAAAAGAAATTAAAAGAAATTTGGTAAAATTGAAAGCCAGTTTATTTTATCAATGAATTGCCCAACATGGCTTTAGACATTATGTAAAAAAACTTCACAGTGAATAAGGTGAGGTCACATGCTAATGCATAATGTAGTTTCTTTATAAATAAATTTATCTTCAATTTTAGCTCTTTTAGCAATTGTTTGTATGTTCAATGAGGCTAATGTTTTTGTGAGGTTTCTTTGCTTCATTTAAATGATCATTGAATAAGTCAAGCATAGATACAATTGAAATTATGAGCACACACATCTGATACATGTAAACTTGTCTGATAACACTGCTGTCCTTAGAAGGGCTCTGAAATAGGGTAATTGTTGCTAAAATTGAATTTAACAATTAACATGAAAGGGGTCCATCAAACATTTTTTTTAATGGGGGTGGCGGGGTGTTTGTCTCTGAATGAAAAGAATGATGAGATGAATGAGACCATATTTGTTTTTTGTTGACTTTGTACCGCGCTTCGAGCCTTTGGGGATGAAGCGTGTTTTTTTAAATGAACTTTATTATTATTATTATATTTGTAAATTATTTAATATTTGCAAAATGGACGTCCTTGTATTTGGCACCACCTGTCTTTACTTAGATTTACTTCAAAAATGTTCTTCAGAGATATTTTATAATCAATATTTTATTTTGTTAATCTTTTTTAAAAATCTTTTACTGTAGCTGAAGTATCATTTCTTCTTCTTCTATATATTAAGGGCCCACAATCAATTTATTGATTATTGCAGGTCTATCTATGCTTTTTGTGACTTTATGCTCTAATAAAAGTCAAACTAACATTTAATTGCTATGCATTTTAATTATTTATAGGTTATAAATGTTGTTTTTTTAAAAATTATTTTAGAAAAGATCTCTTATTACTGTTCATGCTTTATGAAAACAATTTCAGTTAAAAATGATTTTGGGTCCTTAAGGTCAAGGTTATGATTAGGACTAATAACAGTAAACAATCCCAATCATTTTCTTAAGTCGACCCAACACTGGATTGTTATGACATTCTCTATATCTACTTAATTAAATTTAATATGTTGTTTTTTTTGGGGGGGGGGGGGGTGGGTGTGTCATTTTCATTATTTTTTTTACTAAAGTTTTTATCATGGAAAGTTTGACCTGTTCAAATAAGGTTACTTGCAATTTCAATTGTTTAAACTAGTGCATTATTAGTGGAAATTTATATGATTCAAACATGTGATTTGAGTGAGCTTAAAAAAAAAGCGTCTGTTTGCTTCATCAATTAAAAAAAAAAAAGTTAAACACTGGTGGCTGGTGAAGTGCAGGAGAGTACCACAAGATTAGTTGAGCAACAAAATATTTGTTTTATAATTTGTATGCATATGCATAATACACCAACACAGCACAGAGATGAAAAGAATAAATATCACCTATAACATCTGTGAGTTCATTTCTCCTGAAAGAAACTTAGATACAAACTATCAAGCTTTAGATTACCATGGAATGGGTAAGGTAATGCATTGTTCCCCAATGTTGTGTGTTCTCTACTAGGAACCAAAGATTGGCATTTAGATTCTGAGGTAGGAAAAATGTTTGTTTCAAAAATTTGTATTTAAAAAAAAAAAGGGGGGGGGGGGGCACATAAATGTTTAACAGGTCTTGTGCTTTATCCTACTGTGTTGTACCGAAGACTTAAAACCACCACTTAATAGAAATTCAAACTTCCTGATGGCAGCATGGAGTCCTTTTTTTTTAAAGCTCTTCCATTGAGGCAGGCCTCCACAACATACAGGTCGCATGTGGCCCACCAGCACCCACTTTGGGGCCCCTGAAGTAATGAATATTGTTATCATTTTCTTAATAGCTCTCCCCCCTCCCCCGTCCTATTTTCTTTTGGCCCACACTAGTCCTGTCCTATTTTCTTTTGGCCCGCACACATTTTTCATGAATTATAACGGCCCACATCACATTTTAAGTGCTGCAGGCCTGCATTAAGGGATAAGGTGGAGATTCTTGTTTTTGGTGCTCAGTTTGGGGAACACTGGCATATTAAGTGTGAGAAATCTGCATGGCCTTGCTGTAGACTGTATATATCATTCATGCAGATACTTAAAGATATCACAGGACAAAGATTGCTGCAGACTACTACAAATGGAGACAATGGTCGAGTATTACAGACAGTTCTTTTTGGTTCTACAGCATCATGGCTAAAGATTCTCCAGTGGTGTGGTGGGTCGTCCCGTTAACACGTTATTCTTCTTTGCCTATTCAACGTCCATTGGAATATAATCCAATAATTTCTTTTCAAGCTTTCCGGTCTCTTGCTATCTTCTCTAATTCTTTCCAATGTTTGCAAAAGTCTAGATGACCTCTCTCCACCCGGTGTTTTTGGGTTTCTGTCCTGTTGCTCCATGAGGATTCCACACTACTGCTTGTTTTCTATTGTTACATTTGGCATGGGTTTTCTCATGGTATGACAATCCATCTCCCCCTTCTTTTTTCCAGATTTCTTGCTGCCCTGGGCTTTGTTCTGCCATTTCTCTTATTGCTGTAATTGGGATTTTGTGACATCACTTCTTAATGTTAAGGTTTCATATTTAAGCAATTATTCAGGAAGGTTTGAAGTCTTTCTTTTCTATCTTTCTTTGTTGATCACCAACTTTTTTTGGATATTGAACCATAGAGCAGAACAAAAATTTGAGTTAAAAACTGTAAAAAGAAATAAAAATAATGATTTCTCCTTAAATGCCTAGAGTTCCAAATATACTTAAGTTCTGTTGAGACCAGTCTATTCATATGAAGGCCACTGAATGCAGCACCTGCTGGAGAACACATGCCCGATTTGAAATTTCGAAAAAGTTACTGGTCCAACAGTCTTCCCTTTCAAAAAATGCAAAATTTCATAACAGTAAGACAGCCTAACTGTTTCTACTGAGTTTTCTCTCATGAACTTCTGATTAAGATGTCTTCTGCCATATTTTTCTAACTCAGCTTCCTTCACCACCACTTGCGTTTGAGTTTTGGAAATTTGAATATTTATATACTTTATGAAAATTGAAGTGCATTGACCCAAAAATTTATTGAATTTTCATTTCATTTTTTCCTTTTTAAAACATAAAAAAGTGTGCGCTAAGCATGTAAAAATAGTACCATAATAATTTGATGTAACTTCCAGAACTGTGGAAATGCGTTGTGTTTGAACATTCCTCATATCATAATAAATCTAACATTTACTATAATGCTTGCATTTTGTATGTTGTGGATCCTTGAAGAAAATTTTTAAAAATTTACATCAAATGTCAAAGCTCAATGTTAATATTTATGTTGTTAATAATAGGGTACGGTAATAAAATGTGTGAAAAAAAATATCTGCATGTTTGACTATACATTAAATAAATCTAACTTCAAAAATTCTATCTTTTCTTCAATTGAAATTTATTGATCCATATTTTAAATTTAATGGTGACAGTCACAGAAATGAATGTATCCAAAGTGTACTATTCTGCAAACACCCTTTCCATCAATTACCATAAACAAAAATATTGTAGCAGCAGTGATATGAACGCAGACATTGTTTAATTGTAACAGACTTTACTAATAATCAAAGTTTATACACAATCATGAATTATGTGATCAGTTCATAGACGTCTTATAATACTTCATCATCAGGTAGTGAGCTTTAACTTAAAGCTTCTTCCATAAAGGCTTAGTTGTGAGTTGGGAAGCTTTGAAAGTGTATGCCAGTAGGTTTACAAAAGACACAATCTGTGGTTTTTGTCTAATCAACTTTCTAGTTGAAGCTACACAAACATTATTACAGATACTTTCAAAGTTGCCATTTCAAAAAAAATAATTGTGAACAGTAATAAAATAGAAAACAATGAATAGGTTTATGACCAAGCACAACTTTAACACTAGGGCTCAATAGTTTTAAATAGCTTCTAGGAAAGTGATGGTGAATCAACGGTGCACTATTTCCATCCAAATGTTTAGGGTGTACATCATTGTGGACAATAGTTTTTATTGTCATATTTTAATAGTGCATAAAAGCAGTTTTAACATATAAGTCATTTGATTTATATTTCCAACTATTTATATTTATTTGGCGAACTCCTTTATCAATAAACTTATTTACCAACTAAGAATTAATTTCAGTGTCTTGATCAAATCATGTTTATTCAATTGATAACACTTTTAAAAAAAAATAAAACTTTTTTTTATCCTTCACCCACAAAAATTTAATTTAAAAAAACAGTTCCATGGAAAACTTTTGTGGGTTGTCCCAGCTTCAAGACAGAATGTTATAGTATTTCAACTACTGACCTGATAAAAATGTTTATCAAAGCATGGTACCACACCCCAACTTCTCATATTTTTCCTACCCAAAATGTAAATACGAACGATGTCAAGTGAAATGAGATTTAGTTTATAGTATTACATAAACAGGATAAGTATTATACTCATTACATATTATCTCAAATTTAAGATTTAAAAAAAAAAAGCGTAAGGCGTAAGTGAAAATTAAAGATACACAAATTGATTATTTTAGCTTTCATTCATACTGAGAATAAAACAAAAACAAGCTGAGATAAATGTACTGTAACAGACACATCTAGAGCTTAGTCAGTAATTCAATCTGCAAATAGACTATTAATGAAGACATGAAGTTATTGTAATTTCCATACAAATAGTATGTCCATGCTACTTTTCATCAAACAGGAATATAATAGGAAAAAATGAAAGAAATTATTGGCACGAACTCTTTAAATCAACATAGTCCAGGGAAACAATAATAATATAAAATAAAGAATCAGACAGGATGAATGAGTATTCCCTTGTGTTGATAAACTATCATATCATATAACAAATCTGATGGTGGCTGTTTGAGATTTTTTGCCGTTAAACCAACAAGTCATAAACTATTGTCAGAATTGAAAAAACAGTTATTTTACCAAAATTATTTAAAATTATTATTATTTCCACAAGGGAAAAAATTTTAAAACTAAATACAGATGTTAAATTGTGTAACGTAATCTAACATCAAGGACTGCAGGCATTCAACGTTTAATAATCTTTGTAAAATGAAACATCAATAATATCCTCTCAATGTGTCCCCAAAATCATCCTTGTACTAAATCAGCAATAAATTCCCATAAAGAAAATGAAACCTACAAACAGTTGTGTGAACAAAATGAAACAATTAATAAATACCCTATCTAAAGCATCGGTCATGTTATTGCACGTAAACCTGCATCTGTAACGCAGATTGTAATAAAACTTTAAGGGCGGGCATGAAGTTGGAGATTTCAGAGAAGTTTCCGTGTGAGATCATCCCAGTGTAGACATTCAGCCCAGTGTTGTAGTCATACTGCTGAATAGCCTGGACGATCTGGTGTAGACCCAATAAAACTGTCTGCGAGAGCTGGGAAAAAGAGTAAAAATGATGAGGACTGTAAATCTATTCAAGCAAGAAACTTTCTCCCTGTGTTAATTATTGATAAAAATATATTCAAAGTTAAATTACAATGCAGAAAGTCTTTAAAATGTAGAGATGCTTTAAGCATTTTCTTTTAAGGCTTCTCACAGAGATTGAACAAAAATCAGTCTCTGAATGGGAATCCCCCCAACAGTTGAAGTTCAGGAAACTTGCAGGATGAAGATGGTTCAATTATTACAAATTCATAATCATTATTTCCAAATTTTTACTTTAAAATCTTAATGGGGTTAAAATAATTTTAAGAACCAAACACAAAGGTTATGGGATGTTGAAACGTAAAAATAGTGTAACCAAGATTTTCATTCCAGGCTCTGACTTGGAACTCGTAGACAGCTTCACCATCATCTCTCGACGGACCGATGGTCTCATCCAAGCCATTATATTTTATAATATGCGATAAGAGCCTCAGAGTATCTCCATATGACATGTGCCTTTTCACAATGACTAGGATCATTTCTGTCATACTAATTATCCTCTTACCAAGTTCTCTCTCAATCTGTCATACAAAATATCATCTTACCAAGTTCTCTCTCAATCTGTCATACAAAACATCCAATTTTCTTGTTACATCCTCCAGCTTGCGTTTCATTTGCTGAAACAAAAAAATATAGAGTTTGATAGGTTTTAAAAGTGTGTAGAATCTTAGTTTGATAGGTTTTAAAGTTGTAGAATCTTGTTATAACATTAGGCATACACAAAGTAAGATGTTGGATAAGCTGGATTGCATCCCAGTGGCTAAAAGAAATGATTTGGCTTTCAACTGACCCTGAACCATCTCATGAACATTATCTTTACCCGCTCAATCCTAGGGGCTCAGAAATGTTATTTAAAACTTCACTGTTACCATAGATAGTTTGAAAAAACCTTTTAAAAACATCTCAATTTTCCCACATGTTTCTAAGGAATAAATTGATTTGCATTCACCATAGGTTGCTTTATGTGTTGTATTACATTATTTCCCAATATTTGTGTTGTATAAATTTGTAAATGTCAAACTACGACAAATTCCTCAAATGCTCATGATCATAACATAGAAGTTAAAATAATGAATACTGAACGGATAAATATAATGAAATATGGAAGCAATCTCCCTTGTTCCTTTTGAACATTTTAACAATAGTTAATAACAAGACAGCCCCGTAGCACTTGACATAAAACAATTTTTAGCTTGAATATCATTTACATTTTCAACATTTTAAATACCAATTCTCAACAGCACTAAATGTCTATTGAAGTAAAATAACACGTTATTATTGACAAGAGTACAGACCTGTTTACTCTTACGATTTTGGCGTACAATGTATAATTTTGAGGTGTTAGCATATATACTGTATGTTTATTTTTTTCTATAAATATAAAGTATTGAACGATTTTGTGATAAAATTGTACGATTTTAAGAGTTTGAGAGTAAACAGGTCTGAGAGTAGTTGGTAGAGATAAAAATGATGTAAGCTTACCGCATTGGGTGCAACCTGAGCACAGCTTTTGACCAGTTTATCAAAAATATCCTGTAAGACTTGGTGCTCTGATGGTATAGGACCTTTCGATACAGGTGCAGGTGGCTCCACAGGAGCAGGTGTAGGCTGAAATCAATCATAAAACTTATTTCTAGAACATGCATCGTGTGTGTGTGTGCGCGCGTCTGTGCTTATTTTGTCTTAATAGAATAATTAGTTAAGGGGGCAGGCTACCAAAAAAATTTTTTTTTTAATTAACCAACTTAGAGCAATTATTTTATTATGGTCATGTTAAGCTATGAATGGAGATATATTTTCATGCTTTAAAATAAAAAAAATTATATAGTTGCCATGGCAACGGCGGCCATCTTGAAAATAATACCCATTCGTAGAGTTCTAAAATTTTAAAAACAAACATACATATTGCTTAAAAATTGATTGATTCATGAACTTCAATTATATTTAGAGGTACTGAGCTAGTTTAATTTCCTTAAAACTTTTCAAAACATTTTTTTTTAAATTTTTAAAATTTGCCTCGGCAGAAAACGCTTAAAATTTACCATCCTAGGATATGAAAAAAATTATTTTAACAAAAGTAATTGACCAAATTGATTTTTGAATAGCTCATTACCCACAAAATAGTTAAAGGAAGATACACACCAAATTTTATTACTCTAGCTTGTATATTAGCTGAGATTTTAGAATTCTACGTTACAAAACAACAGAAAAAAACAATTTTGAGAAAAATCAATTTTAAACTTTAAAAGTGAAAAATTTTAAGTTTAATATGAAAATGAAGTTCTTTTACATAGTTTTTTTTGTTCAGCAACATGGACATGGTGGTTTCTTATATTATTGAACTGTTGAATGCACCAGGAACATGGGTTTTAACTTCTTGAACTTCATCAGGTGCTCTCGTCAAAATCACAATTTTAAACAAAAAATTTTTTTCCTCTGGAATAAAGCTAATTTGTGTTGTATTAGAATTTTTTGTTCAGCATTATAATATAACACAAGTTATCCAAAGTCCCCAATCAACCCTTTTGTCCATGATCCTTTTAACCATGCTTAGATGACAAGGTTATGTTGCTGTCACCATCACTGAAATTAAAGCATAGTTTCATGGCAGCAATGCTATGTTGAAACTTTTGTACCTATTCTGTGTACTTCTTTCATCAAAGATGTCCCTCATACCAGAGGTGAATGAGTTATTTGTCTATTAGAAATGTAATAATTGGGAAGATACTTGCTCATAAATGTTTCATGTCTTCGGCATAGCGCAGTTTTTATACTTTGCGCAGGTTATAAATTTTGCGGTGCAGCTGGATTGTTTATCGCAGATATCATAGATTGCAACTTTTCATAGTCCATGCCATTGTCCTTCAGGCCTTAGAGTCTATAATTGATAATGACTTGGTTATCCAGTTGTTGATATGAACAATCTAACCACTCACAATCTAGTCATTGTTATGTTCATAGTATTTACTATTTTGTTTTGCAATCAGCTGTAAGTTATGGCTTCTGCAATTCGTCCATTCCACTGCAGACAGAAGAAAATTGGTAAAAGCTTTGAATTATGATCATTTCGAAATCAATGTTTAGCAGTCCCTCTGTAGAATTCTTGTCACTGAAGAATTAACTTTTGCTCGGCTCGGTAGAACTAATTGGGGGCTGGAATGGAATTAAAAAAATATATAAACATTATTTAGCAAATAATATATTGAAAATGATCTCAATAAGCCTATTAGTATTATTTAGATGTTTAGGATTGCTAAACTAAATACTTATTTTATTATAATTACTATTATTAGTCAATTGAACTGATCTTATAAATAAGAAATAATATAAAACTAATTAGCTATTACTATTAATAATTGTATGCAGATAAAAAAAAATGAATAAGATTAAACTATTTGAGTTAAAAGATTCTAATACGAATTATTTTCCCCATACTGCTAATGCTAATACCATGCCATAATTATAGTAGTATTACTACGGCATATTGCGTTGTTGTTTTAGTCCTAGCCTTAGTCTTAGCCTATGCTATTACTTTGAACTACTCGATTATTTATCAATGTTGTATTAGACAACTATAAATAAAAAGTAAATATAAAGACTAATAGTAGAAACTTATGTAATTCTCCGCATAAGGCATAAGCTAAACATAAACTCACAAACAATCCACACGCACGATCAATCATCAAAGGCAACACAGTGACAGTACTGACGTCCGAACTGAATAATTTCAACTATCACCGATTGCATGTTGCTAAATTAAGGTCATTTTTTTTTAGTATACTTACCTTGAATTTCTGGCTTTTACCGAATGGGTAAGGTTGTAAACGTGTATTTTAAAATCAAAATATGCTGATGCTTTCGTTTGCAAAATGTCGCTCTGTACACAGAACCATGATCCGGTAAACACGCATAAACAACGCATTTGCGCATGCGCGAGTCAACGGTATCTTGGTTACCCTCGGTTTGGACCAATGAAAATCTGTAAAATAATTATATAAATAGAAGTGAAGAAAATCCTACACACACTTCGCTTGTGGATCCGATTATTTGTAGCAATTATATTTACTGACTTCGATTCTAAAAATAAAAAAAAACTGCTTGAATTTACCTTTACGTTGATATATAATAATAGCATATTATGTTATTTAAAACTAGTTTTTTGAGGTCTCAAACATGGGATATGTATGAATTTTATTTTATTTCCAAAATTAGGTCAATTTTTAGAGTGGGGAGGGGTGTTAAATATCAGTTGTTTCACAACAAATCTTTTAAAAAGTAGTATCAATTGATATGTAATCGATTCTAAGAATGTTTATCTTCGTAAAAATGAAAAAATAAAAAAAATGGACAATTTTTGAAAATTTTAGATATTTTCGGGCGCCTAACCCCTTAACCCACAAGGATTGAAGTATTCATGTTCTGTCTGATGAAGGCTCACAAAGGTCCATTACTCAAGTTTTTGTCCAACTTAAATCAAGCTTCATCCTAATTGTTAACATTAAAACTTGTTATCCACTAAGCATTTCTGCAAACCTTTGGAAATTTTAACCAAAAGCCAAAACCAAATGAATGTACGCATATTTAAAAAAAAAAACCTAATGATAGATTGCATGTACCCTGACAATTCAATATCTTCAAAGAGGTATTGTAATTGTAGTTGCGAAATTCGAACAAGGGGTAAATCATTGATTACTTGAAAGGTAATTTATTAAAATAATCTAAAACAGTTTTCTGACAAGTTTAGCATTGTATTAAAAAAAAAATAATTATTTATGAATTTCACAAAAAAACTGATCCAATTTATTTTATGATCTCAGTATCAGAATAAGTAATAAAAACTTACAAAAAAACTGCATACAGGTAAGTTTGAAGTTGAAAAAACAACAACAAAAAAACATGGTTTAAATGTACTAAATAACTAAATCAAATTATATATATATTTTTTTAAAAACGTAGCCAACTAAAATAGAATCAACATCTGACTTCAAGACAGCTGTTAGTGAGTAGAGGCTTTAAAGTCATTTTCAGATGACTGATGAAAAAAAAAAACATGCTTTCATTTAAAACACATTCCCATGCCATGCAATTTTCACAAAGGTAATTTATATTTCCTATCCTTGGTAGGATACATTAAAAAAATGAGGCAGAATTAATATTTATTTAAGGATCAGCTGATTATTTTCTGTAAGGAATACCAGGTAGCTTGGTATTGACTTGATACTATGGAATGGACTTGGCACCATGGAATGAAACTTGTTACCATGGAATGAAACTTGTTACCATGGAATGAAACTTGTTACCATGGGATTGAATTGGTACCATGGAATGGACTTGTTACCCTGGGATAGACTTGGCACCATGGAATGGACTTGTTACCATGGGATAGACTTGGTACTATGGAATGGACTGTACCACGGGATGAACTTGGTACCATGGGATGGACTTGATACCATGGGATAGACTTGATACCATGGGATAGACTTGGTACCATGGGATTGACTTGGTACCATGGGATTTACTTGGTACCATGGGATTTACTTGGTACCATGGGATGGACTTGATACCATGGGATGGACTTGGTACCATGGGATTGACTTGGTACCATGGGATAGACTTGGTACCATGGGATTGACTTGGTACCATGGGATTTACTTGGTACCATGGGATGGACTTGATACCATGGGATGGACTTGGTACCATGGGATTGACTTGGTACCATGGGATAGACTTGATACCATGAGATTGACTTGGTACCATGGGATTTACTTGGTACCATGGGATGGACTTGATACCATGGGATAGACTTGATACCATGGGATATACTTGGTACCATGGGATTTACTTGGTACCATGGGATTTACTTGGTACCATGGGATGGACTTGATACCATGGGATTGACTTGGTACCATGGGATGGACTTGGTACCATGGGATGGACTTGGTACCATGGGATGGACTTGGTACCATGGGATGGACTTGGTACCATGGGATGGACTTGGTACTACAGGATTGACTTGGTACCATGGGATTGACTTGGTACCTGGGATTGACTTGGTACTATGGAATGGACTTGGTACCATGGGATGGACTTGGTACCATGGAAATGACTTGACTTAAACATAAGGCCAGCATATTTAATTATAATTTTAGGAAGTAAATAGAACTTGATTTGAAAAAACTCAGCTAAAGTCCTATTGTTTTGCTTTTTGGGTCACAAGCTGACAATTGTTTACTTCATAAAGCATTAGAAAAATGTAAGACCAAATGTACCGGGTTTACCTGAGTGGGTATCCTAGTGTTTGCTGCAGGTGCTGGGTTTGTAGGGTTAAAGCCTCCATACACAGGATTGCTTGGTGGCTGTCACAGTAGGTTAACAGCAAAAGAAAAGGGCAAGATGAAATGGGAATACATTGATATAGTTTAACAGCAGCAGTTTGGCATGCCATGTCAAATACTTGGAAGTGTCCCCCATGAAATGACACTTATTGTACAACATTAGTTTCAACAGTGAGTAATGAGTAATGGCACAATTTTTGTTTAACTATGCAGATGCAGCAAACAAGGTTAAGGTGACGAGGTGTTAAATCAATCTGTTACTGAATTAAATCATGCTATGTTAATGTTATTTTTAAATTCAGTCACTGACTGATCAATTAAAAAATTACATTTCATCAAATAAACACATATTTTTCATATATTAATATTTGCTCATAGTAACATAACATTCAAATATTAATAAGAAAAATATTTGTTAAAAACGTACACCCTACGTAAGTGGTTCTGTACAGTAACAATCCAGTGCATCATCAAATCTTAATGTTTAAAATCAGATTTGTAATGACCTTCTTTTAAGTTCATATAACAGTACATACTTGTTTGTATGTATACAATTAAGAACTCTACCTGTCCGCAGGCGTCTCTGTTCAGAACCACAACATTATTCATGAACCCATTAGTACCTGAGATTGATTCTGATGTTCAACAGGGTTATACAATCCTGGGTAGGTTGGCGCTCCAGGTGGATGGTCTGCATTCGTTTGTTGAGGGGTAAACAAGTTCAAATTGGGATTGGAAAACTGCAGAAATGAAACGGTTGTTATTTTATCAGTTCCCTGATATGTAGAAATTAGGGGATAGTTTTATAACGGTATCACTTAATCATCACATAAGCAAACAGCATCACTTGGTCACATAACATCATCACTTGGTCAACATGTGTCGTATATATATATACATTTTATGGTCCTATTTAAATAAAGACTAATGCAACAAATTTTGCACTTGACTTTTTAAACCACAGATAACACTTGATATACTTTATAGTCTTTACAATGATAAACTGTATAGTTTTGACTTTTAATATTGCTAGATATTGCTATTCTTAGACTTCTCATCAGCATTTAACACTAGCGAACCACACCTTATGATAAAAAAAACTTTCCTTGTTAGGGGTTAATATAAATATCCAACTTGGATACTGAACTTTTTAAAATATCGCCCACAATACGTCAAGGTAAATGACTTAGAAATAAGCACCGGGGCGACCCAAGGCTGCGTTCTCCCCTGTACTGTAAACAATATCTACCAATGATATTCAGAGCTAAAAGCACAGCGTTCCAATCTTAAAAGTTGCTGATGATACACCATCGTTGGCTTAAAATCTTAAGGCGAAGGCTTATGCCGCAACTTAGTTACAAGCATTATCAATTGTTGGAATGAAAATTTTCTCCAGCTGAATGTTTCAAAAACAAAGGAAATGGTTGTTAATTTCAGGAGGGGGAAAAACACTAGATTACAGATCTCAACATAAAAAATCAAAGTGTAGAGAAAGTAGAGGCATATAAGTACTTAGGTGTCACCATTAATAATAAGCTAACATGCCATGAGCACGGCCAAAAGCTGTATAAGAGTTTCAACCAAAGACTGTTCTACCTCAAAAAAAAAAAACAGTACTATTTCGACATAACAAGTCTTTAAGTTATTCTACAGTGCAACAGTTGGAAGCCTACTTAATTACAATATTACCTGCCATTGTGGGAATTCATCGTCTGATAATAAACACAGCATAAACCGACTTATCTAGAAAGCTAGGAACATAACACAAACTAAACATCCTTCCTTTGAAAACTATTTGAAGAAAGATGTTATTGTAAAACTAACACATTTTGGATGATACATCCCACCCTCTTCATCACAGATACTTAGAATTGGCCCGTTCGGGGTGAAAGATATAAAAATTCTTTTGTTCCCCAATCTGCACAAATTTACCATTGTGCTCCCGTGAAGTCACAAATCTTAATGAGAACTAATAAGTCCCTGGTATGGCTAAGTGAATTCACTGAATGGCTGTTTTTTTCACTAGTGAAATAATTTAATATAGATGTTGTATGTTTGAATTGTTTTTATTTATGTGCTGAAAATGTACAATGCAATCAAAAAACATTTCCATTTTTTTGGATCAATAAAAGAATTTTATCTTATTTGATTCAGTCTCTTGTAAGGTTGAGCATAGACTCTTACAACCTTGGCTAGCACATCATAGGCAAGCCCCAGCAAGATATTGCAAGATACGATTCACTCTCATTTAAGGTTGAGCATAGACACTTACAACTAAGTCCCATCAAGATATGATTCACTCTCTTTTAAGGTTGAGCATAGACTCTTACAACCTTAGCTAGCACATTACAACCAAGCCCCATCAAGATACGATTCACTCTCTTTTAAGGTTGACCATAGACTCTTACAACCTTAGCTAGCACATTACAACCACGCCCCATTAAGATACGATTCACTCTCTTTTAAGGTTGAGCATAGACTCTTACAACCTTAGCTAGCACATTACAGCCAAGCCCCATCAAGATACTGCCAGACATGATTTATGGTCTGTCTATATAAATATATTAGGTATTATGGTTTTGCCAAACACATCAGCAACCACTTCTACTAGTCAAGTTAAATTTTTTTCTCTTCAACTTACAGCTGGGGCAGGTTTCAATTTCTCCTGAATAATTGGTGGATCGTTCCAAGCTGTTTCTGCTGGTTTGTCTTGATAAGAATACATAGCAGGCTGCTGAGGTACAGGTGCTGCGGAATTATATACAGAAGGTGCAGGCCCCGCTGTGCTGACAGGAGTGAAGAAATTGCTTGCCTGATTGGATGCTGGAGAATATGTGTTTGGGCTGTGGTAGAGATGAATTTATGCACATTAAATCAGGATACAATAACATACATCAGAACAAACTAAGATAAGTTTCTTTCATTGATCCAAGTAATTGGGATAGTGTTGTGATTTTCGGCATATGTATGCACAAACAAGATAATTTTAAATTAGAACAATTTATACATCAGACATTTCAAGTATTTCCCAGAGCAAAAATCAGCCATCATAAATCAACATCATATATCAGCCACAATATTTCATATAGATGTGACTTGGAAAAAAAAGTTCTTCATTAACATAAAATATTTCTGTGTAATAAATTCATGCTACCAGACCGCAATCTCTTCAAATAACATTCATACACTAAACAATATCTCTCTTGAAATGCACAAGGTAATGAAATGAACTACCTGTACATATTTGACTGACTAGAATATGACTGAGGTTGACTGTAGTCAGGTTGCTGTATGTAACCTTGATTGGAGTAGGTGTCCACCCCGTAAGCTGACAATGATGCGGTGGGGTAATGGGGATACTTCAGACCTAGGCAAACAAAAAGTTCAATTTACGTTGATGATGATGATGTGTACTTTTATAGCGCTTTTATAGCTATTCTCACAGCACTCCGATGTCCTAAAATCTATCTAAAGAAAAAAAAGTCTTTAAATGGTTCTTAAATGACTTTTTATCATTTTTCAACGTCCCTGAAAGATTGAGGCAAAATCACAATTTAGGCACAATAGTGAGGGGTGAATAAAAGAGCAATGAATAAGATTAGTAACAACGGCTTAAAAGAACGCCAGGAAGGTTTCTGCTATATTTTACCTTTCTGGCCAGGACCAGCAGTTTTGGGCACAGAAGGGGCCGTCTGTGGGGCAAAGTTGCTGGTCTGTGCATTGGTTGTAGCAGGATTGTAGAACTGATTCTGTGTGTAATAGTTAGCAGTTGATGTCGATGCGGTATCGAAATTTGTTCTCCCAGCCGTTGTCTGGTAACCCTGTTGGACGTCATAGCCTGATGCAGCTGTACTCCTAGGGGCCTGCACTGGTTGTACGCCACGACTCCCTTCGGGCAAAATGTTGTATTGTGGGAAGGGGCTTGCAACACCATGCACAGCTGTACTCTGGCCAAGGGCTCGAATTAACCTATCTTGCAAAATGGCAAGATTTGGCTGTAGATGTAAAGTTGAACCATTTAACCTGACTGAACTTACAAACAAGCTATTTAGATTTCACAATAAAATAAATACATTCTATTTTTTTTTAAACAGAAATCTGTAGGATCAATTTCACAGTGTTCAGCTCAAATAAATAACACAAATCATGCAATTATTCCATTTTTAAAACAGGTCATGAATATAAAGGAAGTAAACTTTTTTGTTAAATATGACAAATGTGTTGTGTAAATCAAAGATGTCCATAGAGTTCAATAAGTTTTGCTTACATCTGAAGTATTGTTGAGGTAAGTCAGGGCCGCTGCCAGACTTCCTTGAGCTGCCAGGAGACCAGCATATTGGCTTAGTTTTTCAGCAAGTGCTCCCCCTGTCACATTGGGAACAGCACCTCGGGACAATTCCACAGCTTTTCTCAGCACCATTATTTTCTCCACCAGATCCTGAGTATAGCGTAAGGGAGGGTTTGATAATATATACTACATATTATACACAATATAACAGTGGTTCCCAACATGTTGTATGCAAAAATTACACTGATAATACTTGAAAAGCAGCAAGAATGTTTTTTTAATACCCGTTCATTTACGTGAAGCTATATTTCAACATATTTGAACTCATAAATGAAATTCTAATCAAGGGATACGAGAGAAAAAATAGGCTGAATATCTCTGTACTTCATTTGCTCAATTACAAAAGTGCTATTATTAAACTTTTGGGTGTTGATAGTCTCGTTCTAATTTTAATAAATGCTTATTTATTACTTATTAAACACAAAGAAATCTTAAAATATAATGAATTTGCTATTATTATATTTAGGATCTCACTCTAGTAGCAGAAAAATAGGGGCAGGCTATGCTGGGTCGACCAATTAGAAAGAATGCCAAAGGACAGAGGCGTGTGAAAAGGGTGCACCACCAAAACCCCATAGAAAACGGCTCAAAGGCAGACCTAGGCTTAGATTGATGGACGATGTAGAAAAAGATCTACAACAGCTGGGAATTCAAGCATGGAAAAGAAAAGCATCAAGTTAGTTCTGAGAGGAAGGACGCCAAAGCCCTACATGGGCTGCAGCACCTCAGGGATGGATTGTTTTCTTTTATCATTACAAATAAAAGAAAGTTTTGAAATTTACAATGGAGGTTGATAAAGTGATTTATGAATTCATTCTTGATCTCATATTTAAAAATGTCCAGAAAGACTATAATCCATAGGGGAAAAAGTGGTGCAGTTCAGGCTGATTGTTGTAGTACAGGGAGGACTGCAATCAGGTTGAGGCAAAAGAAATATAGACAGGGTAAGGATAAACATAAAGAGAGACAATATAAAGTCTTCTTAGCCAGAAGTGTCGCTTTTACTTATTCTTTTTCTTCAGGTTACCTCTTCCCTGTGTATATTTCAGGAAGATTATAGGAGAAAACCAAGTTTTCAGTCTTCAAGAAAATTGAGAGACGGTTCATCTCACCTGCAGGGCCAAAGGTTGATTGGAGTCCTCAGTGTTTTGTATCCAGTTTTCAACAAGTTTTTCCACATTGCCTGAACAAATATAGCACAGGCTGGCAAACAAGGACAGGTTACCATCTCTTTCAGTCTCTAATCTCTTGGCCAAGGTGTCTGAGAAGGGGAGAGAATTTGGTGAAGGACGTTTCAGCAAGAAAAATAACTTTTATTTATTCTTAGATATTAAATAAAATAATGAGCTAGTCACAATATAATTTCATGTACGTGTACAATGTTCGGGGAGAAAATAAATAAAGTTTTTCCACATTAGACAATTAAAAAAACACTAATGGAACACCAAAACCAAATGGAAGCACATATCCCAAAAGCAACCCCTAAATATATTCACCCCGTGCAATGAAATTTTAATAGCTGTTCAAGAGATCAAAAACTTTTATATAAATAGGAAATGAATAAAAAATTATATATATATTTGCATCTTTTTCAACATCCATATCATATTTTTGTACAAACCACACAGAGATGAAAACTCTTCAGGCAAGGCGTAGGTAAGAATGACAGCCAAGGCCTCCTTCCAGTTGTCTAGATCACATGTTTCTACAATATGAGCCCAGTCGTGGGTTACAACTGATGAGATCAGCTGTGGAAACATGTTCAAAGAGTTTTGTTAAATTTGGGGTATTTTTGTGTTTGGTAAAGATACTTTATATTTTGATCAAATTCATCGCACACAAAAGTTTTCTCTCATCAATGAATGAAATCTCCATTTTACTACCAATACTGTAACCAATGTTTGCTTCTGATATACATGTAGCCTTTCTTCCTGTCATCGGTGATATATTTCACATTCGGCACTTTATTACTTGAAATAACTTGACATAAAAAATGTAAATAACCATATAATGCAGCTCCAATTTACAGAAACATTAGCAATCCAGTGAGTAAAGAATATGACTGAAACATTAGCAATCCAGTGAGTAAAGAATATGACTGAAACATTAGCAATCCAGTGAGTAAAGAATATGACTGAAACATTAGCAATCCAGTGAGTAAAGAATATGACTATGTGCTCAAATTGCACATGTGTCCGCAGACAATTGATCCACTCTCTTTGGATATTGTAAGCTCACACCCTAATATCACATGCTTACTGAAAAGGTCGACAAAAACAGTCCCATCTTTTGTAATTTGTCATTTTTATTAATATGCCTCATGCATTATTCCTGGGTGAGTTTTACTTTACAATCAACAATCACTAAATGTCATGATGTTACAATGATTAAGGTGGGCGTTGAAATAGACTTACCCTTCCCAAGGTTGATTTATTCCTAAGGAAATATTTCTTCTGTGTTCTGACCAGGAGCTCGGGACCACCAGCGATGGCAAGCAATATGGCTTCAGCCATCTTATTCTCACTTAGACACATCTCAACAGCAGCTTCAAAGTTACCAGTGAGAAGAGCTTGAGTCATAAGTCCATCAGCTAAAACCACACCAAACAGAATGGAGTATGAGAAAACTGGCATGCACTTCAATAAGAATGAATTATTTTATAATAACTAAAGCACAGTCCTTGATTTCCAGTAAGGAATCTTTTGTAGCCTAGCAATCATAGTTAAATTTGTAGCACTCACTGAGGTATAACTGTTTACCCCGCTTTTGAATTTAAACAAAACAGAAATTTTTCTTCAATTAAGTAATTATAGTTAAAATTGCAGCACTCACTGAGGTAAAACTACACTACACTTTTTGATAGTAAAAGAAATAATCCTTCAATGCTTACCATGGTCAGTGGGAATAACCAATGGGGTCTCACATCCTGATGTTTTTGACTGAGCACTGGCTATGTCATCAAACAATGCAGACCCATCAAGGTCATCCACTTGATCAACAGGTGTCTACATAAATACAAATCAAATGATAAGCTTCAAGCAAACCCCTTTTAACCCTTTCATTACCGCAGGTTTTGGGCACCTATTTATGCTGACTCGGCAGTAAAAACATTTTAAGGAAATTTTTGGTCTTTTTCACCCTCTATCAGATTTGCTTTTTAACTTCTCTATAGATAAATGAATAAAGATATATATATAGCATTGAAATATGACATCGACGTGACGTCCTTGGTATTTCAGAAAAACTCTTTGCCTCTTTGTTATGACGACAATTTGACATCCTTGGTAAATGAAATTGGGTGATTGTGACGTCGCATTGACATCATCAGTAGCAAAGTGGTTAAAAAGTCTATAAAATTCCTCTCACTCCTATTTAAAAATGTGTTATCTTAATTCATTTTTTATCACTGACCTTTGATCCTACATTGGGTGATGCTTGACCACTAGACAATAAACGATCTGCTTTCATAATGCTCTATGGAAAAAACATGAAAGAAATTAGTCTTGTTCATTTTAAAATTTAAATAAATTAATTATTTTCAAATCTCCCTTAATCGATATTTACATTTTCTTTTCAACAACTCGACATCAAAATGATCTTCATCTCATTCATACATTGACACGCATACGACTTACTCCTGTATTAAGTAGTGTCATCTTCTGTGCCAACTCCTGAGCATCCACTCCACGCCTTGAGGCTGCTGACACTTCAGTTCCTGTATGCTCCACTACCTTTACGTAACAATAAAATAGATTTTATCTTTCTCAAACTGTCCTCTTTTTGTTAAAGAGCACATTTACACTGTCTAATCTCTTTGGTATATAACTATAATGCAGTGGTGGTTGTGGACACCAGCGATGAGGCGTTAACAGCTTCAATGTCAAGCCTGGGAATTCCGCCAAGCGTCTGTGTTCCCACTCTAGGGACTATGAATAGTCTATATTTAAAGTGTAGCGTACAAGGAAAATTAGATCCAGTCCCCTCGTTAAATATTGGAGAACAATCCCTTTACAGCAGGCAGTTCCTTTAAAACTGTGCTAAGAGCTGGTTTTTTTCTGTCAAAAATTTTGCCTTTATTTTTGTGTTTTTATTACCAAATTGTTGGTAAGAAAACAAACTTCAACTTCCGTTATTAAAAAACTACATTTAAATTTGATAAAAAATAATGACACATTCATTTAAAAACGACACATCAAAAATTAACATGTGCCACCAATCAAAATGCATGCTTCTGGACACATGGTCACAACACATGAATACAGGAGTTATCTTTTATTTTAAAATATTTATCTCATAATATTCCAAAATAAAGACCAAGCAAGATGATAACAGTAAGAAACAAATCTAGGTACTTCTGTGCAGATGTGACAATTTCAACTATTTATACAACCATTTATATTTACCTTGCGAGCCAACTCATTCTGATCATATCCGAGCAGCTCCAGAAATTTGGTCCTGGGTTCTTTTTCAAAGTTGACCTAAACAAGAAAAATAATATTTACTGGCCAATCAGTTCTCTCTTAACACACAGCTATTTCATTAATTAGTTCTTTTGCACCCTGATTCATACAAAATGAGTTGCTTTTCCTTCTGTTTAACTGAACTGAATCAGCTCTTAGACAAACCATTTTTAACACGATCAGTGTCTTGTTAAGTATTATAAAACATGACTCAGAACATGATAACAATGAAGGCAAAAGATTTTCTCAAAAACATTCTACCAGTAAATAAATAATAATAATCAGGTTTATTTGAAAATCATGCTTCATCCCCAAAGGCTCGAAGTGCTGTACAAAGTCAACCATAATAAAAGAGAAATGAAAAAATCTATACTATAACACATTGAAATACAAAACGCAACATTACAAAAACTACATACGAGAATACCCATTCTAAGTCTTTCATCCCTTGCAACCATAAACAACACAGGCCAATATACATCTAGGAAATAATAGCTAGCTTGAAAAGATGGTAGACAACATCACCCCAGCAGGTGTTTGGGAAATAGATATGTTTTCAAATCGGTTTTGAAAGACTCCAGTTTCTGGCTGTTTCTGAGAGCGACAGGAAGTGTGTTCCAAATTGTTGGGCCAGCAAATGCTTAAGTGTGCCTTCCGTAGGTTTCAAGGCGAACATGTGGTATCGAGAGTTTGCCACTAATCGGATGACTCTAATCCCAAAGCCACTGTTAAGGTAGTTTGTCAAAATTAAAACAACCCAATCAACTCACTCTCATAAAATTCCAAATATTTTCTTGCATGCCATCTTTACTGTTGGCCGCTTTCATGGCACAGAATTCTAAAAAGTGTCCATCTTTCAAAGCTTGTTCCAGCTGATTGGACTGCACCACAAGTTCAGTCTCCGTCACTATTTGACTGATGGTCACTTGCCGACTCACCGGTTGCGAATGGGTTGGTTTATCTAGGACAAATGTTACCAGCTTACCGCCAAACTAGAAGAAAAGGGAGACGTACCCATCAGGTAAAACATTGTTTGTCAAATTGTATTTGAAACACATATTTACCGTAGATTGTAAATGTAGAGAAAATCACTTGCTAAGGTTGCAAATGTTGGCAATAAACTAAATATTATTCACATTCATAGTATTACAACAATTAATGTAAAAATTCCACTATCTAACAGACAATAACATGTAATAAAATAAAATTGTAATATTATTTTAGTATTAATTTAGAATAATAAAATGTTTAAAATACATAAAGTTATTATGATTTGTTTAAAACAATTTCATCAACTCACAGCAAACGATGCACCAACTGGTTTTCTAATCCACTTGGGTGGTTTCTGCAAAGGTAAGGTTTTATCCTCCTCATGAGGCACTTGTACAGGGGCTTCCCCAAACTGAGCTCCTCCAAATGATTCTGCAACCTGTTACAAAAATAATGATAGTGTGAAGGATTTTGCAAACATTTCAAGCCCATTCACACATGCATAGATAATCCTTTAGACATCCTTTACACATCTTTGTAACTCTTTCAAGTTAAATTAATAAAAGGCTTTAAAACTTGCCACAACAAGCTGATCAAAGGAGTCTGATAGATTACCTTGTTGCTGGGCTGGACTGGGTGCCCCCCTCCCAGCAGAGAATAGAGAGTTATGTGACCATCAAAGGATGCACTGGAAATAATGGATGGATTCCTAGTGCACCACTGGATGTCAAAACACCACTGGTTGTTGGTAGACAGATCATACACAACCTGTTACAAGACAAGGAAAAGCATAAATCCTTTACTTTGAAATTACACTCTTTTCTACTTTGAAATTACACATTTCTAACAGGTATTTACAGCCTGGAGCTTCAATTAATAAATTTTAAGTCCTTGTGTAGCACTCATTACATTTTTATTCCATGGGGTGTATTTCCTAAAGCAAAAAACTAGCAAGAATTTAAATGCATAGAAGGGAGTCAAATCAGTAGGATACAGATCGAATGTGAAACAATTAAACACTACCTCTCCGTTAGGGACATTTGGATTCCAGCAGAGAATTCTATTGTCTTTACCGCAGCTCAACAACAGGTCAGGGTCTCTTTTACACCAAGACATGGACAAAACACCCCTACAATAAAATACACATTAACTGGATTAACCACCATTTGATATGTTTCAAATTTGGATTTAAACACCCGTAAAAAAATTTAAAAATCAAAACATTTCATTTAAAAGTATATAAAAACCAATCAATTAACTAGATAATAAATGATGTACTTCTGATGGCTTTCCAAAACCTTGAGAGGAGAAGTGGCATATCTCAAGTCCCAGACCTGGATCACTGGGGTATGGTCATCTTCAGATGACAGGCACAGTTGTGTAGCAACCTCTGGATGCCAAGCTATTAATTTAGCTTTAATCTGTTGAAAAGTTTGAATAACTATATTTAAATTAAATTTGAAAATATAATTTTTTTTTCATGTAATAGTTTACTATCAATTCAAATTCATCACAAATTATTTTGGTACATTGAAAGATTAAACAGGTATGCAGAGAGGTTGTTGACTACACAGGCTAATCAAAAGCCCCTCTCAACACAAATTATTAAGAGTTTCAGTGACAAAGACATACTCGAGACATGCTATCACTGATTTTGATGATGGGTTCATTTTTCCTCAAGTCCCAGACAACGCATCTGGAGGCAAATGTTGACCCAAGGATGTGCTGAACCTGACAGTTCCATGCCACACAAGCCAACTCTTCAGGCGGCTGCAACAAATAAAAAGTTTAATAAGACAGGAGATAAATAGTCAAAATGTCTGCTTTACATTTTGGCATTAAAAATGTATTCACATAAATTTTAAAATGAAGTATTTCAAGTGACGCAAATGGGGTTATTTAGCAGTACCTGAGATTTTTGTCCAGGAGTCATAGGACTCTCAGTCCTTAACAAGTCCCAAATGTAAATCTCTGAATCACCCCCTCCTGAAGCCAGCAGATTTGACTACAAACAAAACAATATATTAGATTAATTTGTGGGAAATGGCAATATGTGGGCAACAATAATGAAACAGCAATGTTCAATTATAAATAGTTAGACAGAGAAGTAATAAATGAGCTGAAATGTCTTGCCTGGAAAGGATTTAGGTCCAAGGCCTTCACTGAACCAGTGTGTCTAGTCAGCTCAGTGGCAAGACAATCTTTGGCCCCTGCTAGCAGTTTGTCTGCACTGTAGACATGTATACTGCCATTCTCTCCACCTCCAATGATCACTCCACTTTCTGTATCTTTCTGTGGGCCCCAGACTACTTTATGGAACCTGTTCAAGGTAGATTCAATTTGGAAATTAAACTCTATTTGGTTCAAGATCATGCAAGAAGTTTTAAATTCACACAAGACAAAGCTAATTATGCACATCAAAATTGAAATGGAATATAATTATTTCAATTTAGTGTTTTATAACTATTACCCTTGATATTTTTAAAAGTAAAAATTGATAAAAAGTAAAAATTTAAAAAAATATTTAAAAAAAGACAAATGAAAAACTTGTTTACCTGACATCTGAGGGCACAGAAGCTACCATTGGCATATCCAAAGTGGCCTCAGCAAGGTTCAGGCTATACAGCTCAAGAGCTGATGTTGTGCTAGATGGAAGTTTAGAGAAAATGAAATGTACACATGTACATTTAAGGATAATAAATAAAGGACTGCGTCCATTCAAGATATGTGAAGAAAAAAGTGGAACGAGGTATGCTGAAGCTTGAAATGAAGGAACAGGACAGTAGAAAGAGAATGAGAGAAAATCTTTCTACTGCTAACAAAACAACAAAGACATAGAAAGGAGTTAATAAATTAAATGTCTTTAGTTTGTCATATTGTGGAAAAATGTAAGTTTCAACAGTATTATGAGATTTGTTCATTTCGATTTTATAAATTTTATGATCCAGTTTGAAATGCAGTTATGACATGTGCAAATATTTTATCTTAAAAATTTATTATTTCTGTGAAGAGGTGAATAGAACAAATTAAATGGAAACAATCGAATGCATTCTTTCAATTCAATTTAGATATGATTAGCAAGTGTTACAAAACAAGGGTTTTAAAATAATTAAAAGCATAGGAGGGGATCAATGTTAAACTATTGTGTTATATTAAAATTATTTACTGTTCCACTCATTTTTGTTAAAACCCATTTTTTTAAATTTACGTTTAATATAAAGCTTAAAACTCTATTCTGAACCGGAAATACATTGAACATTTACCCATTTTATTTTCATTTGGTGAAGAAAAAAAAAATTTGAGGTGAGAGGTAATTATTGATAATGGTTCAGCTGTATTACATGCACACACATATAGTTATAATCACCTGAAAGTAGCATCAAGCTGTTGGGCAGCTGTCCCAGTGGCAACATATATAGGATACTGATTCTCTGGTGACCAAGCCATATTGGCCGTCCTGTCAATCTCCTTTACCCTCATTCTAGTCGGTATATGATTTAAATTTGCTGGAATCATATCAAAAACATGTTTTACAAACAACTGCATGTATGTAAAAGCATAACATAGTGGGATATGTGACTCAATTTTGTACATAAATATCAGTAAGGTTTTTCTTTTTTAAAACTAACAATGAAATTCAATTACTGTAATTTTTTTTAGCCTTAAATGTTTTAAATAAACAATGTTGTTAAATATTTTATTAGAGGGCCTAGCTTTAAATAAAAAGAAGGGCATTAAAAAAAAAAAAGGCAGTGTCTACACGTCCGGCGCGCCTGACGTATATCTCCCGCACTATTTGTCCGGCGACCAAGTCACATGACCGCCGTAACAAAGTGGCGAGAGATATCTTGTCGGGCAGCCTTGTCACGTGACTGCGAATGATTCAAAATTGTTAATTTTAAAATCCATTTCTCCACCAAGTAATGAATGTACTTGGTATCTTGAATGCAAATAATAGACAAAAAGTGAAAGTGGCTTGTAAACATTTTTGTTTTGTTTGTTATTTGAGTTTGTGTACCGTACCAGTAATCCATCAAATAAATTAGGGGCCAGTGTGGAGTAGGCAACCAATAAAAGTAAAAGATTTCATTTTAAATTGTTTTAATTGCTACAAAATATTTAAAAACTTCTCTTGAAACTACTGTTGCTGAAGAACATGATAATAAAAATATAGTATAAAATATTTTTAATTAAAATGGGAAAAAAACGATCCTTTCCCCGGCATTGATCCTCAAATCTTAATAACATTAAGCAATAACTCTACCATTAGACCACACAAGATCTACCAAACTGCACTTCGTTAGGAATAATAAAAACTACTAGCGTGACATGCCGCCGGACGTATATCTTGCGCACTATTTGTCCGGCGCGCCTGACGTGTAGACACTTCGAAAAAAATATATGTAATTTTTAAAAAAAATTAAATCAAAGATGAGTTTAAACCAATAAAAAGTAGAAAATAAATAAATAATATCTTAAAATGTAATTTTGTGCAGAAGTGTAGATCTAGATGAGCGCTCTATGTATCCAAAGGATTTGAATTGATGTAGACTCATTTTTTAAAATATTTTCTACACAGACTTTCTTTGAGATTTTGTGTTGTGTAGGCCTAATGCATTTTAAAATTATTTTCTACTTAATCAAGCAGACGCGATGATGTTGACACAACACATATTATCATATGCTACCTTTCAGGTAAGCATGGGACAGATTGATCAGTCGAACTTACAAGTGTCAACAAAAAATTGCAATTTGACCAACAAGATGGATATGGGAATGACGAATCTGAGTGAAAGAAAGTCTTTAAAAATATTTGCAAACTTCATAATTAAGGGGATGAGATTAGATCATATAAGAAGTTCAATATAATTAGAATACCATATAAAAGAAAACATCAGGAATTCTTAGCCAAATCACTTATCTACTCAAGTTTACTGTCTCTTCTCTTACAAAAATTATTGTGAGACTACCTACTGTACTACACAATGTCATTCATTGATTATCAGGTAAATCTTGCAATTATTGGCCAAATCCACAAAAAAACAACCTTGTCAAAGTCCACATTAATTATTAACGCTATGATTATGATTTTTCCCAACGCTCCAAAGACTACTGCATACCTTATTCGGCCTAATCATACACAGTTACACAGTATCCCGCTATGCTTCTAACTCTATGTTTTGCTGTCATTGGCCGTGACTAGGAATGTCAATGTTAGACCTAGGACTAGCCGTGCTAGCAGACGCAGTTCTGCGAGTAGTCGAGTAGTAGTATGATTTCGATAATTACTATTTTAATTATTTATCCAAGTAGGAATTTTTATGAAACTTGGAGTACACTAAGAACCTTACCATTCTTAATTGATTATAATTAAATTACCGTACCTTAAAACCCTCAGTAAAATATTATTAACAAGGCTCCAGTGTACACTAAAAGGCATAAATTTGCAGTGTTGATTTGTTGTTCTCAACGTGGCAGTCGCCACATTACCATTTTCTTTTCCGCTTCCGGTTCGACCAGACCAATCAAAACTAAACTATTTAATTTATTACCTGAATCTTTTTGATTTTGCCTATTTAGAAGGATACTCGATACCTTTCAACAAAAAAAACCAACAATATATTGACAGCAATATTTTGAAACCATAATCGTCTAAACTTACGCTTATAGTAAAACAATCTTCTCTTAATGGTAAGAAAACAAGCGAAACAAAGTATGGGAAAACCTTTTAAAAAACGCAACATAACAACGAAAGTCAACGTTACTCAACGTATCAGTATCATCAGCACGAAGGCTTCTTCAACAAACGAACAACAGTAAAAACAACATAAAAATTATAATAATATTAATAAACACTTAGCTGCAATGTTGAATCCGGGATGACAACAATAGCGTTTCTTTCATAAACTTTTATCCTGGGGGGAGGCATTTCAGGAACGAAGTGGCTATAGGTACCCGAGTACCCATCATCGCCAATGACTATTCGCACCCGAAAGTCTTAGTAATCGAAAAAAAAACATGATCCGAACCAGAGGCTTAATAATCGACAAGTTTGCCGCGCATTCTTTTATAAAAATGGAGGTTGGCAGCATTTTTGACACCTATGCGTCTTTTGAAGACGAATTGAATTATTTTTGTAAAGAACACAATGTGTGTTTCACTAAAAGATCGTCAGAGAAGATGAAAGATCCCAATTTGGAACACCTTAAATATGAATATAATTCACTGTTGCAAACAAGGCGTTAAACGCAAGTCAAAGTCTTCAACGACAACAGGCCAAAGAAAATCACAAGCGTAAGTGTAAGTAATAAAGTAATAATAATAGGTTAACTTTAAATTTAGTTGGTCTTGTCATGTAATAATTCTTTCTCCAAGCCAATGATTATTACCACGGTAAATGTAGAGGACGAATGCCACTATTTTATCGATGGCCGCGACTAATGTATCCCTAAATCGATCACTATGCCATGCTATGCCTAACCTGAACCCTAAATCGACCTCTCAACCTAACCTAAACCCTAATTCACTGCAACTATAATAAAGAAGCAAATGACGCCGTGGCATTCGTGCTCTACATTAGCCCTTACCACTTTTGGCAATTCGTTGAGAATTTTTATATTTTTCAGTTCTTTCAAATTGGGATGCCAGGCAAAGATAAAGCTTGTTGCCAAGAGAAATCCATCTCGGCTAGAAATTACCAAATCAATGCATGAACATACTGGCCATGAAGTATCAAAAGAAGTAAGTGCATGTGCTGCGAAAAATATTTACATAATAATAATAAATAGCTTATTCTTGTGGCAGGTTGTTGTCACCTACAGGTACTCTAGTCTCTAGTACTATAGAGTTTAGATGGATGCATTTTAAAAGAATGTTTTATACCATTCATTAACCCATTCAATCTAGGGCGCTCAGAAATTTTATCACTGAAAACTTTTGGTTAAGGTTAGGGTTACCACCCTTACCATAGAAAGGTTTTGAAAAAAATTAAGACAAATCTATTTAACAGTATAATTAAATTTAATAAATTCTAAATAGTCCAGACAGAGTTTTAATCTTAATTTTGATTATTGTGACATATAATAAACATAAAACATTTATCCCCAAGGTGAAGGTTAGTTATTTTTATGTACACAGCGGTGAGCCCAGCCCTAGGCTGGGGTACCGCACTATATAAGACCAATGTTCCCTCTAAGGTTTGTTGTTTTGTGTGCAAAATCATACAGTTATGTGCAAAGTTTTACAGCATCAATTTTTTTGTGTGCAAAATTTTACAGTCCAGAAACACAAACACACACTTAGAATGAAATTTGCTGTGCGGATACTCAAAACTGCTGCGCAGCGCCTGTGAGATGGCTGCGCGGCAGCGCAGCTTAAAGGGAACCTTTTATAAGACCACTAATAATAATAATGTTTGCAGAGCATATTTTTTTACATAATACTTATTATTGCAAAGTAACCTTTGTGTATTTTTTTTCCAGATGTGCCGCTTGTATCCGGAAAACCGCAAGGTGGAACTAAATGCGGCAACGCTTCTGTTGATGTCCTGCACCACGATTCAGGCATCTGAGGCCCGGCAAGTGCTTGAACAACAGCATGATGTGGATTTGCTTCCCAGGGACATTTACAATATTAAGTCAAGAATAAATAAATCATCTTCTGATGCAACTGAAACTCAATCTATACTTCATTCTATATCACAAGCTGGTGGAAGTGTGTCGTATGGACTAACAGAAAGTGGGGAATTTAAGTATTTATCATACATGACTCATGATATGATTAGAATTATTGCCCAATATCCAGAGGTTTTATTAATGGATTTCACATATAAAACCAATAAATATTTATATCCACGTTTGACTGTAATGGTTATTGATGGAGAGGGCAGGGGCATTCCTGTTCTTCATGGTTTTGTAAAAAATGAAGATACGGAATCTATTTCTCTTTGTTTGCAGCGTCTTCTGAAGAATTCTGATTCCAGTCTTTTCAAGTGCTTTGTGGTTGACAAAGACATTGCTGAAATCTCTGCTTTAAATGATCTGTTTCCAAATGTACCTGTTAATCTATGTCATTTTCACATTAACCAGGCTATGCACAGGTTTCTTTCGAAACATGTAGGTCCTGAGTATGTTAATCCAATTCTTGAAGGATTTATGTCTCAAGTTTATACTGAGTTCTACCATAATGTTTAAAAATTTTAAATATGTCTAGAAAATTCTTATCTTTTGTGAATGTGTGAATATGCCTTGCTGAAACTAGTTTTGTTAAATATTTTTTTAAAATATTTATTTTTTCACCTTTGCCTGATAATTGCACATTGAAATGCTTTAAATTTCATTATATTTGACTCCTATATTTCTAATATTGCTTAATTTAATTTTTTTCTCTTTTTAAAGTGGTCCACTTAGGATTTCCATTTATCTCTGACATCAAATGTATTATGAGGAAAAGTATTATTACCACATGCTTCAAATTTGCAAGGTTGTTTCTATTATAGTCTCTACATAATGATTATGATTGATCTTATTTATTACATGTCTGATAAAAAAAAATTCAGAAGTTTTTATCATCTTATTTTTATTGGGCTCGAGGTATGTGGGTTGTTGGTATAATGCATTCATTTATATTCTATCAATTATATCTATGTTCTTAAATTGTTATTTTTAATTAACAAGTGGAATGTGTTCATGGTGTATGCATCCAATGTTGTTTCAGTCTCTTTTTCAGCTTTTATAGATATAGCATTTTCATTATATATTTTTCTGACATCAATTGATGAATCAGGAGGAATAGTTTTCGAACTACATAATTGAAACTTTGCATGCTTATTTAAATTGAGATTCTTTACTTTATGATGGATTGTTTTTAAACAAATGTCTCATAGGAAAAGTTTTCAGAGAATGTTTGTATTTATGCAATTTATTTATTAGGTTCGTGTTTTAATTTTTTTCCTATCTTTTCTGTCTTAGTTTTCTAATTGTTTTTTTAATCATGAAGGATATATGTACATGGTGTATGCATCCTATATCGTTCATGCAGCCTCTAATTTAAAAAAACACAATTTTATTTTATTTATTTTTTCATTTTTCTCAATTTTGCATTTTCCGGATTTTTAAGGAACGCCAAATGAATCGGGAGGAAAAGTATTCTAGCTACAGCCTTCAAACATTGCATGCTTCTTTTCATTGATATTCTTT